TGGAGTCGGAGGCTCCTCCTCTCTGCCCCGACAGGGACAAGTAATCCATCAGTTAGTGTTGAAATGGCCGAGCTTTGGGCAGCAACTGGCTATAATAACAAGAGTTAGTGGCTAATTGTATACATGTCCACATTTGGTAAATATCACATATATGAGGAGAAACTTTGTAATATTAGCTGAAGTTCCTGTGTGTAAGCTAACTATGTGGTGTAACCGCTTGTATTAAAACCATATAGACCAAGGGAAAACATGTTATAACGTGTTTTAAAATGACTTCTGCAAAGCGAAGGTGACGTCACCGAACTCAGTGTTAACAGTGACAGCGGGTTGTCAATGTCGGTAAGTCACGGTCACTAAACGATCCCGTTATTACAGTGAATTGTCGTGTCTGGACGTGCTGTTAAAGAGCAGAGCAGCGGACGTGTGTGTCGTGTTTGTTCATATTAAGTTTGGTTCAATGTTAGTCGGCTAGTTTTCAGCTCTAGTTCATTTCATTATTGATGACGGGAGTCAAAACATCTGTTGGAATGATTCTGTCTCCGTGTCAGAATAAAGAACATCACTGAGAGCTGAGAACCATCGTGACATGTGCACCTGCACAATGACACCAAACTGAGTATTAGTTTCTATTCTATTGTTATTTAATGTAAAACGGTTCAGCAGACTATTACAACTAAGCTGAGGGAATAATGTATTTTCAGATATCTGTGATCATCTAATCAGAGTGCTGTTTCTTTTGTCTTTTTCTCTATACTCTACAATATGATATTGATATGATTTCTCTCTATTATGTTTTTTTTCTATCCAGGCAAGGTCTGGATCTTTGGGGACACCTACAACCTCTTGCAGCAATGATGGAGGCCCTGCACCACCTCCACCTGCAGTGTCCACACATGAAGATCTTCTCTTCCCAAACATAGACGCAGTGTTTTATATGATGATATAGTATTTTTTAATGTAACACTTGTGGCCATAACATTACTCAGTCTTATCAGCTATGCTCTTCCTTGTTCCCTACACCCTCACTGTTGTATTACACTCTCTGCCCTGTGTCAGACATACAATCGCATGACTTTTGGACTCCACTGTAGCTGTAACAAATTGTCAATAGTTTAAAACATGAAGAGTCCATATTTCATAGTCCTCAGCCATTATAGTTAATATCAGTGTGCTTTTCCAACAGCATCACTTATTTAGAGGGAGATTGTTACTGGAGAAAATAAATATTAACTGTCTCACACATTAGGACTCATGATGAATAATGATTATACTTGTTACTAAAAATTCTGTTGCACTGTTGATTCAACTACTACTTTTTATTAAGCAAACTTACACATTACAGTGAAATTCAGCTTTAACTTCACCCACAACTGTATGATTTTAAATAGTTAGTTGATTATAAATTGTACACTACAGTATTTAATTAATCCATTTATTACATTCTTTTGTACATTTCCAGTGTTGTAAATTGTTTAAATTAATGTAGTTTATAATGTCCAATAAAGTTATTTATGAAGTTCTTGCTTTAACTTAGTTGATGGTTTTTATAGAGCACATCTGGTATGAATTTTCACAATAGTAACATGTACAGCATTGTGTGACTACTTCTTTGTTAGTTTTAATCAACAACATAAATACTAGAAATATTTAAATGTTGCTGTCCGACAACACTGACAATGAAGGATCAAAAAACTTGCTGATGTTAATCGGTAAATACTTTCACCTGTGGAGGTGGTGACAGTGCTAGAGATGATCCATCACTTAATCACAGTTTAATATTTATAAATTCTGTTCTTAAAAGTGTTGCTACCATCCCCTGTCAACAAAAGCAGAAATGAAGTTGTAGGTAAGAAACTGAACCTGTAAATACTGAAGACAGAGAATAATAAACAAACTCATCAGCATTTGGTCTGTCATTTCATCAGAGGAAGCTGAACTGTGAGTGGTTTTCTACCATCATCATCATCATCATCATCACAGCACATTAGAGAACTAAGGATGTCCATGAAGTCTCCCTTCTCCACAACCAGATGAATGGAAACAAATGGGCTGCTCTGTACAAGAGGTCCTCCTTCTGTTGGCACAGATCACTCAGTTTTCACAGTGTGGAAACCTTTCAAATGACAATAAAAGACAAACACTTGAGTTAAGATGCGGTGGATCACAGTCAATCACAAATATCTATCAGCTGTCAGGATAGGTGCATGAATGTCTGCTTCAGTTGAGGACTGGTTTGAGTTTTAAATGAACAATCTTCTATATGACAAATATTTGTCTACACATTTTGTATACGTCACGTTATCTTAACTTGAACTATAACGATGTCTTGATGGACAATATATTAAAACATTAACGCTACGCATTACACTAAAGCAGATCACTTAAACTGGGTCACATGTGGAGAAACACAAACCAAACGTCGTTTGATCGATTAAATTCATCTTTTTATTGGGCTTTGAATGAACCCAGGTTGACACAGGTTATCAGCCCAGCGGGACCAGGTACCGTTAGCATAGCAATCGCTAAGTTATCAGCTAACGCTAGCACTAGCTGGCTAGCTTGGTTAGCAAGGTGCATCTTCACCTGAACTGGGATATAAACAGGGATGCTAATTTTGGCGAGCAAAAAATAGGCTTAAAACAAAATGTACTTACCGGAAAAACTGAACCGCTGACTCCTCTGTGTGTCTTTTAGAACAACTGAACGCCGAACAAGATATTTTCAGCCAAACAACATGTTGGAGCTAACTTTGATGAACCGAAAACACAATGACAAGTCAAATATCCGACACATCGCTCTGACCTCATATCCGGTGTTGTGCCAAAAAGTGACTGCCTGCCAAAAAGTAATTTCCTTCCGCGGGAGCGCGCGCAGCCTGTTAAAGTTGAAAAGCGCAGTTTCTATGGATCTACAGCTGCTTTCATCCGGATCAAACAGCCGTTACGAACAAATACACTAACTCTATGTCCGAGCTAATAGTGATGCTATGTATGTGTGAGACGATAACGTTTATTTCAACAGAATTTGTGGCCATTAACGTGCTTGCTGTTTGTAGTGTAATCAGGCATGATATTAACGTGATTACAGTCAATAATGTTATTGTTATGTTTGTGTGTTTGTTATGTCTGATATCCTTGTTAAATACACTGTAATTAACATGATGTATGTCTGACTTATGTATGCAATGAAGACATTTGGGACTGAAAGGGTTTTCTGCCTCAAAATGACTTCAAATCACTCACCACAATTATGATTTGAAGATTATACCATAACCAGTACTTTTCACTAGTTCATGATTTTAGTTTGTTTTGCTGCACGTTGTAGCGTGCTGTAGCTTGATATTGTTTTTGGTCCTATAATCTCAAATGTCCTGACAGACTGACTAACTGATCATTATTACACCATTGTTCAGCCAAATGCAAAGACTCTGAGTTGGAGTTTCCCCATTGGCCGATGCTCTTTCAAAATGAATTGGTGCCAACAGTTTGTCTCTAGATTTAGACTTTTTTCAAACAAGACTGTGTATGAACCTGGAACTTGGCAGGACCATGTGTGGTATGAAATGTGGCCTTAGGGCACACCTCTTACTACAGGTAGTCACCTTGCCATTCTGGTTTCCCGGGTACTCAGGAGCTACAGGGAAGGGGAGTGGCACTTCTAGTTCACTGAGCCTTGCTGCCATTAAGGCAAATACACTACTTTAAACAACAATATGCTTACTGCAGCACAGTAATAAAAGCCCTGTTAAGAAATAAAGGGTTTATGTTCACTGAGCCTTGCTGCCATTAAGGCAAATACACTACTTTAAACAACAATATGCTTACTGCAGCACATTAATAAAAGCCCTGTTAAGAAATAAAGGGTTTATGTTCACTGAAACGCTAGAGGACTTTTAATTTGTAATTTGTAATGCAGTAACTTTAACACGGCAAATGGGAGGGACTGAACGTGGCTTCACAGTAAAGCACTGGTATAATCATATCAAACAGAGGGAGTTAGAAATGAAGACTTGCCTCTAAAGACGCGTTACCTTCTGCAGGTGAGGTAAACAAAGGCCCCGGTTACTTTCTGAGGAAATACACTAGTTGAAAACTGATGTGGGTTCCACTTCTGACTTCTCTGACTTCTGACTTTCTCTCTGAGAGATCATTTCATACAGCTGAAGTCACAGCACAGTCTTTGTCTTATGTGTTTGGTGATTTTCAACAACCGCTTCATTGCTTTATTGGAAACTCTGCTGTATTAAAATACTGTATGTGAGCAGAGTGTGTGTGTGTGTGAGTCAGTGTGTGTGTGTGTGTGAGTCAGTGTGTGTGTGTGTGTGTGTATGTGTGTGTGTGTGTGTGTAGAGCTCTGGCGGTGGAGGCTGGTCTCGCAGCTCTCTCTGCTCACAGAGTCCACACAGCTCTGCAACGCAACGCTTCAGCCAAATGTAATTTACCCTCAGCTGGACTCTAACGAGGGTTTTCCGATGAAACATCACCAAAGACTTGACAGATAGAGGTAAGTTTAGCCTTTTTTTTTGTTAATCTTTCTAAAAATGTGATGGCTGCCTGGCTCTGCTGTCTTCTGTATACCGTGCTCAGAGTATTTTCATTTTACTGTCCACTTATAATACAGCATATTGATACTGTGATGTTTGTGCTTTGATTTAAATAAAACACACTCTTTCCTTGGACAAAGTACACTCAAAATGTGGTTTTAATACCGATGTGCAGTGTGCAGAAAATGTAGGAAACAGACAAAATTCACAAAAGTTATTTTATAGTCATAATATAAAAATATACACAAAACATATAAAGTGCATGGCATGTAAGCAGGGGTTCCCTAAACTATCATGACTATACTGTCCAGACTAAAGACAGTAAAGTGTCATAGCTGTAGTTCATAGGGGACATTTCCACCGCTGCACAAACCAGGTGTAGTACTGTGATGACCAGCAACACCTGAACACGAGCAGCTGCAGCTGCAGAGTCCTTCATCAAACACAGAGGTTGTTTTTATGACAGGACACAGCTGTTGTTCTTCTTCAGTGGTGGCCTCTTCTTGGCTGCAGGGCTGGGCACCGTGTCTCTCCGCCTGCACAACGCAGGACTCAGCCGGTGCGGCAGGTCCACCTGTTGCAGCAGCGCGCGGAAAACTCCAACCGTGTTTCCACCTGTGCGCGCGGACGCCTCCACGAAGTTGGCGTCCCATTCGCCCTCCACTGTAGCCATGACATCACCCGCCAGCAGCACGCGACCTTCGGTCTCGGTGAGATCTCCTTTGCTGCCAACTACTGTGATGGGCGCACGCTTACCGCCCCTCAGCTCCAGAATCTCGTCTCGGAGCCGCCGCACCTCCTCGAAGGACCCCGGGTCGTCCACAGCGTACACCAGGGCGAAAGCGTCACTGTGTCGGATGGAGAGCTCCCGCATGGCCGGGAACGAGTAGCTGCCGCTCGTGTCCAGGATCTCCAGATGCATCTTCCCGGACCCAGCGGTGTCGTACTCCAGGACGTGAAGCTCCTCCACTGTGCGCGTGTACTTGAGCTCAAAGCGGTTGTGGAGGAAACGGCGGATGAGCGCGCTCTTCCCGACCCCCGCCGCTCCGAGGAGCACCAATCGCACCGTGTTGGGACGTCCTGACATAGACATGCTGACCTGATGCATGTGCCCCAGAGCGTACAGCTGTTTCCACCGAGAATATGCGACCACTGGCGTGGAACGGACTCGTGTGCTCTCCGCTGATGCCACAGGCTCTGGTCTCCCCTCTACAAGCATTTATAGGCTGGCCGCCACTGCTCTCCACCAATAAGATCCTTCCCTCTGTCCCTCTCTCTAGCATGATGTTAAGCACGATTCAAAACAGCAGGTCAAGTTATTGACTCTGTAGTTTAAGACCAGCAGCCCAGTGATATTTGGCTGCATGGAAACATAAACGAATTTAATGTCGTTTTACTGCATGTCAACAGTCATATAGTCATATTAGAGGGGGACACTTTCCAGGGCCACGTAAATCATGGCACTTCAGCCACTACCAGCTCATTCAGAAACTTGGAAACCATTGGGACAAGCAAACAGCCATATTAACTTGTTTATAAATGTGCTTAAGAGATTAGACATTTATTCATTTATAAAATCTTTCATTTAGAGATCTGACCAAGTAGACAGCATAACATTTGTACAACATAAATACAAAATGTCAAAACATGAATGTAATGGATTACGAAGTACACTATTTGCAGATACACACTTATTAAGTCCACCACCATTGAAATGATTAGTGGCTTACTATCATTTTCAGCCATGGTGAACAATTATATAATCAGATCTCAACATGTGTCACCATTCAAACTCACCATCACCAGTAAGCTGATCTAAAATGCTATAGCTATACTTGGTGTGTCCATTCCTTTGTTTTGCATTTTTTGGTCCATTTCCTTTATCGGTTTTGCTCTTGGTCCATTATCCCCACGTGGTTTTGTTATTGGGTTCCTAGGAACTCAAAGCCTGATGTCTGGCAGTCATAAAGCAATGGTCAGTCATGCACACACAACCAAGATACAGACACGTTCTATCATATTTACACCAGGTATGAGTCATGGAAGGTTTCTCGTTAATCCTCCCACAAAGATCCACTGTTTGACCCAAACACACATATTGTTGAGGCTATATAAACATGTACTGTAGACTTCCTGTTATTAAAAATGCTGGAATTGTGTTTGAGTATGGTGCAATTTTAGTTTTGATCTGAAATTTTTAATCATTCATGAGTAGATTTAATCTTTTGGATGCCAAATGATTACCAGCTGAGTGGACCACACCTATTTAGTGCACTTAGTGGTGTGGTTAAGTCATACAGACTGATAGCACAACAGATGTGAAGCAAGAGTGGGATTTCAAAGAACCAGTCAGATTTGTATAACGCTATCAATAGGATGTTAGACAACCTACAAATTTTCTCCTGAAGCGTGTCATTATTGTCACAGGATACAGAACAAAACTCTCCCTCTGTGTCTCTTGCTGACTCACACCGTCTGGCTGGGCATGGCTATCGGTGGGCAAACAGATACTGCGATAATTTGACAATGTGTGCGTACATTTTGGTGCATGCATCAGTTTGTTCTATCTCTTATCTCTACCCTTGAAGAAGGTCAGTGTTTCCTGTTTAATATAAGGCAGCAAATAAGACAGGAGCAAATTAAACAAAACAAGAACAAATCTGCTGACAAACTCCCCTGAGCCGCTGTTTGCAACAGCACTTTCATTGGATCCAGCTGTAACGAACCTGTCCACTGTTTATGGGATTTTAAAGTAGGCCAATAATTTGGCAAAATTTGCAGTATTTTGGCACAACAATCAGTTGTCACAACAATCTGTTTCTCTGTAGGAAATATCTAAACAATATTGTCAGGAGTGGTAATAAACTATTGAATGTGCACTGCATAGTCAAAAGTATGTGGACACCCGAACATCAATCACATATGCCATTTTTGAACATCTCATTATTCCAAGACTAAGGGCATTAATGTTGCTATAACAGCATCCACTAACCTCTGAGAAGGCTTTCAACAAGATTTTATAACCTGGCTGCAGGGACTTCAGAGCATTAGTGGCGTCGGTCACAGATGTTTGGTGAATAGGCCTGACTCACAGTTGGTGTTCCAGTTCATGGAAAAGATGTTGGATGAAGTCGAGTTCAGGGCTCAGGGCTCTGTGCAGGATAGTCAAGTTCTTCCACACCAAATTGGGGAAAAACATTTCTTTATGGACTATGTTTTGCCATATTGAAACAGAAAAACAAAGTTGCCAGTTCTGTGAAGTTAGAAGAAAACTTTTGTCTAAAATATCATTGTATGCTGTGGTATTATCATGACCATTTACTGGAGCTAACCCACACCATAAAAAAACAGAGGCATTCACATACTTTTAGCCTTGTAGTGTTCAAAAATCATCTTCACAGTATGTACACTAGATGGCAGCAGTAGACACATTAAAGCAACATTACATTGCAATGAGGTTAAATCAGTTAAGTAGTTCAGCTATACACTGGAAAATTACTGGTGCTAGAAATAAGAATAAGCTACAGTGCTGCAGTTCAAACAACAAGATACAATCCTGTAACTCAAATGAATGAAACTACACAGAAAATATGTTGACATGTCAGAGCAAGAATGCACAAGCATTAATAATAATCAATGATAACAGCAGAAAACAACTGTTTTGTATGTTAAGATATAATAACGGCGTCCTGAGCAGAGAAAGAAGTATGGTCTGGCAGCGCGTGCATGTTAGTACATGTGCGTGTCTCTGTTAGTACATGTGCGTGTCCCCTGTTCCTCCCCACATGTGTAAAGACACAAGGACCACCCATCGTTGAGATGGCTCAGGTGAAAGCAACCTTCCAAAATTTCCCTCCACCAAAGAAACCACAGCTTTAATCTAAAACGACCTCCTACAAAGAGAGAGATAAGACCAGAGCACAGGCGAACTGACCACGGGGACTAGTGGCTCAAACTTTGGTCGGCCGGTGGCCCGTCAAAACATCCATACAGTTCTTCAAGTTTTTACTATCTTACCGTCAGTGTGATTGGTCCGAGCAGATAGGTCTATAGCTGAATTATTTCTTTCCCAGTCCGACCGCGGAGTAAACACTGGCTTTACTTTACCAAGATGGATAGCCCTGTGAGCTCCAGCCTGACTGAGAACCTGCTTTTCATCTCCTAGATGTGTAAGTAACTTTATTACTACATAATGTTACGTGTCTGTTTTCATTAGTGACGGTTACAGTTGGCCATGGTAACAGTTAGCTAACTTGCTGTTGCTGATGCTATGGATGTGTCCCGCAAATGTTGCTATCGCTAGCTAGCTTACTGCCAACATTGCTGTGTAGCATCTCACAGCAATGCTAGCGTGGGGCAAACGGTTGTGGCTGGATTTTTTTTTTGTTGGCTCTCATACAGGGTAACTATATTCTGTTGTGCCTCTTGTTGTGTGTTTAGTGGCCGCTTTCGTTGTGCTTTGTTTTGGGCTGAGATGCTGGTGGTCTAGTGGGACATCTAGTGGCAGGGGCGATGGTTAATGTCATGGCTTACTGGGACAGAATGCTATTATTAACGCCGGTTCTTTTCCTAATGTGACAAATCAAAATGTCTGCTGCCAGTCACAGAGCTAGCAAGATACACAAAACGCTCTGTTCTTGCTAGAGCTTCAGAGAGAGGCATGAGACACTATAGAAGTGTTCTTTGGTGCTTAAAACCACAAATGTATTTTCTCATATATATCAAAACTTCATATAAAACAGTGGGAAATATGGGAGCCCTTTCATACATAATGTGTTTGAGTACATAAGACCATGAGATGTGGTCTTTAACAGCAGTGAAGATGCATGAAGGATTCAGTTTTCCTTTATGGGTTCTAGGCTCTAGGGATGGCAATGTTGGTCACTCAGTTGGTCCACCACGTTGGTACAGATTGAAACATGGCTTGGCACTTGTCATGTTACATAACGTGTTACTTCATGCAACTGCAGCCTGGTGGCACTTGCAGCACTTATTCTCATAGGCTTCTCCTTCATTTACTGTGGCTGGATTGTATTTCATTTGTATATCTCTTGGGAAAAAATCAGGTCCCAAATGAATAAATATAAATTTAAATATCATATATCAGCATGTTAGCGTTGTCATAGTGAACATGTTAGGATACTGAACCGCTGGGACAAAATACAGCCTCACAGAGCTGCTAGTGTGGCTGTAGAGTCTCTTTATTAAATGGTTAATTTAGCCTGCGAAGGAGACTTTTCTCAACTCATGAAGGAATATTTAATCTTTTAGTTTATCTGAAAAATTCAGTACCAGCCAAACTGTAGATTCATACATGGATTTCACTGAAAATCAACAATATCCTCCTGCAAGGAGAGTTTAAATAAGCTCTTTTCTTCCTGTTTAAGTGCTGTCACAGACTCATAACCCTGACTGACTCAGGTTTCTCCTCTCTTCTGTCCTACTTCTCATGGTCAGCAAAACCCTTTTTTTTTTTTTTTTTTTTTTACTGGACATCTTCTCTTTTTATATTCCACCTCATTCATTTCCAGCTCTGTCTCTCCCCTGCTTATTATTCTCTCCTTCTTCCACTCAAGAGCCATATTAGCTTTTGGCAACAGACAGATTTGGCAACAGCCTGCCATGTGTTTTCTCTTACAGATGATTTTGCACACACAACACACAAACACAGACTGGCTGAAAAGACGTGAGAATGGGCGTATTATTGTATTAGTGTGAGCACAGAAGGAGCTTCAATTCGTTTAGGGACTATCACATGTCTGTGATATCTTGTGATTTTCATTTACTAAGCCTTCTTTCACTCACTCAGTGTCTTAAGGGTCAAAGAAACTGTTTCTTTAGTTGTGTGACTGCTTGACTTAGAGTATTACAAGGTTTATTGAGATTATTGATCTATATGTGTCTGTCTGTTACATCTCCGAACATTCATCCTCCTCAAGCCCAGTCCCTGCCATTACCTGTTACCATGGCAACATGCAGAGATCCTGTAGTGGAGGATGAGGGATGTCTGTTGGTCTGTTCCTGTCTGTGTCTGTATCAGAACACACATTTAAAGTTAAGCACACAGTAGAGTGACTGAGTAATTTTCCAAAGAGGAGAAGAGCTGAGTTTTCTCTGCAGAAGGACAGAGAATGTAGAGTAGGTTACCTCCCTCTGCCCTTGTCTTCCTTTCTCCTGTACAGTTTTGGCTCAGTGAAATCTCAAGGGGACATGATTCAGGTGAATTCCTTCCTTCACCCACACACAACAGCATTTGCAGAAATCATGACAGTGGATTTTTTTTCTTAGCATAACAAAATGGTTGCCGCATTGGAATAACTATGACAATTTGCTAAATTGAATCCATGACATGGTCATTACCTCTTCAATTTCAAAGGGAAGGAAATTGACACCCAGTGCAGCAGTGTGGCTCATTTATGTGTTTTGACAGTCTCTGGACAACAATGGAGCTCTAGGGCACAAATGATGCTGATGGATTGCTATGGGATTTATTGGCGATAAGAAAAAGTTTTAGCCTTTAAACAATCATGATTATTTATTTATTACAGCTGAGGCTGATGGGAAAGGCATTAGCTTTGCAGGTATTTTGTCATAAACTAAAGTATTGGACAAATTAAAATTTTGGCCTGGTGATGGCGGCATCACCAAAGTTATTACAGGTCATGGGATCAGCAAAGTCAGTCGGCTTTGTCCTTTAGGGACCTTGATATCCGTACAAAGTTTTGTGTTGATCCAAATTTTATTTGTTGCGCTATAACAGTCTTGAATTAAGTTTAAAGATATTAACCTCTCAGATTTTTGCCATCACCCCAGTATATGGAGGTAAATTGAATTTTTGTCTGTGCTGCCCACAGCTTTGAAATGTTACATGTCTAGAAAGAGTGGCGCCCCATTAATTTGGATAATCCATGTAAAAATGGCAACAGTTTTCTTCTAAACTATTTCTCTCAGAGAGTTGATGGCAAAGTCTGTGGTGTTGTCTGGTGTATTACAGTTATGTGCACAGAGGTAAGAACAATCTGTTGATTGAAAAAAAGAGAGAGTAAAGGAGCAGGCCCACTGTTAAGAGGGAAAACTTTATTGGGGTTTTTTACTCAGTTCAGTTGAAATGTAAGAACATGAAAAAGAAAAGGCTGTAAAGACTGATGCTCTATGGAAGGCACAGCCACAATAATAGCCAGAGAGATGACTGACTCTATCATTGTGTTTATACACCAGCAGCAGCACCCAATCTAAGGCAGACAAGTCATCACAACAGACATGTGCTTTTAACTTTTTTCGAATAGACACTACATTATTGTGCAGATTTTGAGTCACTGACTATTCATAGTTGGAAATATTGTATCTATGATGGCATATTTGTATACAGTCTACTGCATTTATGTGCATTTAAGTGTGTAGTGTGCAGTAACTAGGCCCTATTCACAACCTCCCTTTCATTTCTTTATTTTTTTAACAGAAATGGTCTAAAAACGCTCCTTCAGTCAATCAGTATGTTTCAAAGCTCCTTTAACTCGTCCTCTCCTTTCATTTATTTCCTCCTGACATATACTGTAAATTTAAAACCTTAGGAGGACACAGAGAGGGCTGAGTGGATCTAGTCTTAAAGGAAAACCTTTGACCACTGACTACTTTCTGAAGATGAAGCAGTCTATGTACAGATTTTGTCTGCCTGCACATTTAAGACTAAGGAGGGAAAAAATGGAGAGTGTGCAGGCAAAAAACATGTGAGATCTGCCAGCCATGTCCCATTTTTCTTTTCGCAGCCTCAACACACTTTTGCATTCAAAGTTTCCATTGTTACTATGTTTTTGAAGCATTCAGTGACAATTAAAGCATTATTTACAGCAGAAACATGTTAACCAGTTACATCCCTTTATCTAATGTGCTTTATGGTTTATAGTTTAAAAGAGAACAGGAGATGAAAGCAGCGCAACAGAGCCAGCAGGACATTTAACAGGAGAAGGTTAGATATTGTGAATTATGAGTTATAGCATTGTACATATTCGTTATACCAGTAGTCACCACAGAGAGGCACGACTAACAACAGTAATCGTCCTGACATTTATCAGGTATATCTTGCGTAAGTTTGACTGGAACTGAAACATTTAATGTGCAACCACACTATGATTCATTCATTAAACACGTCAGAACAGCGAGCAATTTTAGATTCAAACCTCCAGTAAAAAGCCCAGTAAGAAGAGATAATGGTTAAGAAAGAAAAAATAATAAAAAATAAAACACCTGTAGTGCTTTGGTGCCATGACTTCCAGTTTATCAGCTTCAGTTTCAACCACACATCCATCCAGACAAATTCACAACTACACACACACGCAGGCGCACACACATATGCAAAAAAAAAAAAAACCCAAACAGCTACCTACAGTATCTATCAATAGTTTGAAGCATTGTGTCAGATATTGGTGAAGTCCGGCTGTGCTTTCTCAGTATTCCCAGAGGGTGGCGCTGTCCAGGGAGTCGACGGTGGCCTTTAGACCCCCAGCATGGTCTCCTTTAAGGTACTTCCCCCCCAGTGCACGAATAGCCATCTTGTTAAGGTCACAGAACTCAAACAGGAACTGGACAGGTGTGGCACTGCTGCATACCACCGCTGTGTCGTCTCCAACACACCAATACTTGCCCTGGGAATCTGCACAAACAACACACACTTAATGTAGCCCAACTCACACACTGTATTTATAAAGTTCGGTGATGTATGTTTATGTGTGTAGAATCACTTGTTAAAGCTCAGGGTGAGATGAAAATATCTTTTCACATAATCTTCATTTAAATGTTTCAGAATTTACAATAAAATTTGCTTATCAACATTACAATATCCCAATTTCATCATGGAAATGAAAGTTAATAGATAATATCGATTCATTGTTCAGGCCTTGTGCTGGTTGAAATGTTAACAGGACAGTAGCTGACCCATATATGTAGTAATGGTATTATTCCCATTAGATATTTTTAATATTGACTTTCTCTAAAGCAGAGTGGAGTCAAACAAGGCTGTGGTGAGCACTGTTTTAAAAGCCCACAGCAAACATCACTACATTTAATTTTATGTATGGTCATAAAATCAAAACACCACAGGATTATATATACACAGGATAATGTAATTTGATGTAGTTTCTTGCATTAAACTAGAATTAATTGGCACCAACCATTCAAGTTGCAGGAACTACGGTCACAATCTCCCCTTCTGTTCCTGAGTTACAGCATTGAATAATGTACAGAGGTATTTCAGCAGAACATCATGATGTCACAGTCAAGTTGACCTTTGACCATTTGGATATAAAATGTTATAATTCTAGTAGGCCTACTTGTTTTCTCGGTACTTGGTGAATTTGATGTTTTGTAACTGCAATTGTGGCTGTATGCCACTACAACAATGTACCACCTCCACCTAATTTTCGGCCAGGAAAAACTCTGCTGTTGCATTGTTTCTTACTTTTCTACAATCAAAAACAGCCAAAAGCCATCAGGTTGATAAAGATATAGTTTATACACATTGGGCTTTACTCTAAGCCTTTAGGCCAGCAGTCATGTGAACTCCATGACTTGCAGTAAAACATGTAAGGATACCACATCAGTTCTGTAATATAATTTCTTTTGTATTTATTAAACAATTGCACACCTTTAAGGGAGTAAGCGCCGTTGTGGAACTCCAGCTGGAAAACATCATAGGATGCTCGGTTAGAGTCCAGGGTCGCCATTCCAGCTTTACGAGCCCCGATGAAACCATGCTCACCGCGAAGGACGATGATTGGGCGGTTGATCAGCTTCATCAGGAACTGTTCAGCCTCCCCTGAACAGACAGACTGATTAGGGTCGTGTAAAACTGATCTGGGTTTTGTTTCTCTAGTCAAGAAGAAGCTCTGACACTTGACCTAAAAACAAAATCCTGATTTTGCATCAAATTAAAGTGAAATTAACAATGTTACAATGCTCTCAAAAAGTATATGCTCATGAAAACTCCTTGGTTACATCATTGAGAGCACTTGTTATCCACTCTTGCCCCTTGTTAGTGATTTCTCATCAGTTCAGAAACTGACCTGCGTTGTCAACAGTAGCAGCCAGCTGCCCGTTCTTCTTGGCGATCACATACTTGCCGTTAGCCGCACGCACACACACACGACCGTCACGCCACTCCAGTTCAAAGTAGCTGTTGGCTGATCTGTGACACACACATTAACAAACTCAATGTACAGACTGTGAGGGATTGTTGTGTGTGAACTAAAACGGGATATACAACGTGCGTGTGTTTACTTGGTGGAGGCAGTGCACTGCAGTCCTCCACTTGCTGTCAGGGTCCAGTATTTTCCAGCAGCGGTTCTGAAGGCACACTTCCTGTCCTCACGACTCATCTCCATCTGGAAGACTTCCTGGTCCCCTTCCTCGTCCTGATTGGCTGACAGGTCCATGCCTAGAAAAGTGGGGCAGTCTGCTGTCAGCTTTCATTTGTCTCTGGAGGTTTTCCATCTGAAACTCCGCTACCCTCTAATTCATGAAGTCTCTCAGATAGACTCTTAAAGGGACAGGACACCTAAACTTTCTGTGCCTGGCGGGTAGGGGTGTGGCCACACGGATTTGTTGTATTATCCCACCCACACGGGATGTGCCAAGGTGAGAGGAACAAAAGAGCATGGTGATAATAGCAGACTAAGCAGCAAGGAAGCAAATCTACCCAAATGAGAAAATATGAGAGTTGCACTCATTAGTCAAAAAGGCTGTGGCTGAATTGCATTCTGGTCTAATAAGGATACTGTGGAGAAATGCTTCTTCTATGGTGATTTTCCAAAGCTTCACACTTGAGACTCAAACACACATAACTTAAGTCCCCCGTGTTAGCAAATAGTTGCCTATTTACACATCTAGCAGACACGGAGCAACATCGGCGTTTGTTTGGAGTTTCGTTTCTGGCCACCTGAGGAGTCTTAAGTCCAATAATCACTCTCCTCACCAGGTAGTTGCTACCTTTGTCTGTCTGTACATAGGGTTTATAGAGCGTTTTTTTGCTGACAGGAGCTGGTGCTGATGCTGAAAATTAAGTTGCTGAGAGCAGTGAGAACTGAGAATGAACCAAAACAGTAAAGTTGAGGACCGCAAAGCCAAAACAATGAGCTTAAAGACACAAAAACCACCTGAAGAGCTGAGGGGAACTGCAGTGAGAATTCTGTGTCTCTGTTTGTCACTATGAGCGGCCACTTTTAGATTACAAGTACACATACAAGCAATTATATAAATATAGTTATAGTTATATAATTATGCAAATTAGTGCAGCATTAAAATGAAAACATTCAAATCATACACCTGAAAGACTTTGATCTGAACCTGCTATTTGCTTATAAAGACTTTCCTTCAAGGACATGAGACTTGACATGAGGCTTTATTTTATTCCTCTTGAATGACTTAAAACAGCTGTGAATTTCTTCACAATAGAGTTAAGAAAAAAACATCTTACTACTCAATAAAGGACTGACACCAAAACCTAATTTTAACCATCAATCCTCTGGCTGACAAAATGCCCATACATGCCGACACTGAGCCTACTGTCCCATTCGGATTTACTGGACTAAATGTTAAAAGCGCATATGGTCCTTTTTAGAAAGAAATAAAAATTGTGAAGGTTCAACATACACCATCTCTTTGCCCTAATGGATGTGTTAGCCCTCAGTCTACCATTATGACCACTTCAATGAAAGTGACCAGGTCACAAGTCAGCGCCCTTATTCAAACAAAGATTATCTTCCGTCTTCCACAGTCCATCTCCCCTGGAATGCACACACACACACACACACACACACACACACACACACACACACACACACACACACACACACCATTTCATACATTAAAGTATATTAGTACATTGACTACATGGATGAACTACTGTCAGTGATCACTCCCATGCACATGGCATCACAAAATGAGACTGAGTGGCAACAAGACAAAGAGGTTTCATGTGGCATCAATTCCCACATTCAGCAGAACTGTCTGAGTCACACCTCCCTCTTTTGTGGCCTGTTTTCTCTGCTTCTCCTCCATTTTATCCCTTTTGTCTCTTTAACAAATCCCTCCTCGTTTTCTGTCTTACTCTCAGTCTATTCTGAGGTAAAGAATGATGGATAACTGTAGACTGAAGCTGACCCTGAACCAGCAGCCACAATGCAGGGGTAGAATTACTGCAGGAAAAATGTTAAGCTAGGCAGACACTGGCCAAAAGGAGGGAGGGAGAATGGGGAGGAGGGATGGGGGGAGAAAGTGAGAGCATGATAATGAAAAACACATGGTGTGAGGAAAATGAAGAAGCCTATAATCCCCCCCCTTTCTCACACACACACACACACACACACACACACACACACACACACACACACACACACACACACACACATATATACGCACACACACACACACACCAAAATCATGCAACAGCTGCTCGTGGTGTGTGCCCAGTTATGCAGTGACTTCATCAGTATGGTGAAATATGATTTTTTTTCTCCCCCCCCCCCTCTGTGGCTCTGTGTGGCTGCAGAGCCTCACCTTGCCTCGTGGAGACGTTTCTCTCGTTGCCTGCAGTCAGCACGACCTGCGCGTGGCTGCGCTCCAGGCCAAACAGTTCATCCTTCCCGACCCGGGTGCTCTTCCCAGACTTCATTGTGCCGGTGGGACCCACGGGGGCCAGGTAGCGCCCGTTGCAGTCGCGGAATGCCACTTTTCCGGAGCGGAACTCCAGCATATAGCCGGTATCCTTGTCCGTTTTGGTGGACAGGCTGCCATCGTTGCGAAGGAAGCGATTATCGGAGGTCTCGAGGTGGTAGCGTTGATCACGGTAGACCAGTGTCACAAGCGAGTCGACCCCCCATGGGACATCCCGGTCTATTGAGACCTCCTGCGGGCCCCCTTGGACGCTCAGGTGGGCGAAGCGTTTGCGCGCAAAGCTGTACAAGTTGACCTGCGGATGCACAGCCAGGTGCACACTCCATCTCTCCGCCGGTGAGGCCGTTTGCGCAAAACACGTGATCCGGTCCTCGCTGCCGCCGAGGAACCGACCGTAAGGTTCGGACTGCAGCGACCACCGCCCGTCCTCGTGCGCGGTTATAACGAAGCGGCAGTCCCGGCCGCGCGTCTCGCTGTCCGCGGTAACGTTGCCGTCTTTGTCCGTGGCAAGGTAGCGGCCCAGGTGTGAGAGGAGAAAGACGGCGCTGCCGTCCTCCCCGGTCTGCTCCAGGGTCCAGGTCTGCTTCTTCTTCAGGCTGCTGGCCGAGGCGTTGATCTTGAAGCCGAAGGTCTCCGCCGTCAGATACTTCCCGATGCTGTTGATGAGTCCCAGTGGGATCTGCAGCAGGTCCCCGTCGGCGCCGTTTGCGGACATGATTGTCGTGTGTCCAGAAGAGGAAAGAGAAGAGATGCTGTGCTTGAGACGGACAGAGCGAAAAGGAGAGAGTGAATGTGGGGGCGTCTGAGGGAGGGACAGAGAGACAGAGGGAGAGAGAGCTGCTCTGTGCAGACTGATGATGAGTGTCCTCTGACTGAAAATCAAGACTGCCTCTCCAGAGCTGCAGGAGTTGCAGGACTGGGAGTTTTTTTTCTAACAGCAGTACACGCCCCAGATGCAGCCAGAGGAGCTGGAGGGAGATTACTGCAATTTTGGCAAACCACCCCACCCCCCAACCCCTGCAACCCCACTGTATACATACACACATACACAGTATATCGCATTGAGTGGGCTGTCATCCAAACCATTGCTAATAACTAATTTCCGTCACATCCATATTTCCCCCTACTTTCCCTCCCTCTAATTGAGATCTGCTCTCCCTCTGTTCCACATGGATAGATCCATTCAACAACTGACAGACCACTGTTTGTCTCCAGGGCCCTGTTTGTGTGTGTCTGTGTATGTGTGTGTTTGTGTATGTGTTGGCTATGAAACAGAAACTGATGATCAGTGGGGAACTATGAGGGCACATCTATCTGTGTGGCCAAAGGTATGCTCTGTCTGCTCATACTTTATTTACTTTTAGTTTGGGGCCTATTTTCATGGTTTGGGACAGGCCTGTTAGTTTCACAAGGGAAATGTTATTACAGTAGTATACACAATGATATTTTAGACAATAGCCTGCTTCAGACTGTAAGAACAGTTTGGGGAAGGTCCTTTCCTGTCCACAAAGCCTGACCCAAAAAGAAATAGTTTTGTGTGGAGGAACTTTTCGGGCCTTCACAGAGCCCTGACCTCAACAGCATCCAGCACTGTTTGGAATAATCAGAAGAGATGTACTCTACATTATCCTAACTATAAATGTTCCCTGCTGCAGGCAAGGCAGTGTGCCTTGTGTCTCTTTCTCTCTCCCCTCTCTGCCTTTAATTGCCCTGGTGACTTCTTGTCATGGTAACGTATATGTGCTGTAGGGTGAGAGGTTATATCTGGTATAACGTTCTCTCCCCAACCCCCTCTTTCTCTCTTTGTCTGACAGAAAAAACTCCATACTGTATGATCTAAAAATGCTCAGCTCTGAAGGACTATGCTGAGTGGAGCTGTGCTCAGCAGTGCATGCAGGTATAACAAAAAAAAATGTGTGTTCGGAATGTGGACATGGAAAATCAGAGGTCCAAAGCAAATGTAAAGTGTGGATTTCTGTTTTCGGCTTCAGTTGTTTCCTGCCCTCTTCTTTGTGATTCCACCCGTTTCCATCTGCTGCTCCGGTCAGGCCCGCCTGCCTCTTCCGTCCTCCTCCCCTGGGCTCCATCATGACTCCTGCCTGCATGTTCACCTTTATTTATACTGGAGAGACTGTTGACGGGTGTGCGTGCTTATCTTTTCTTCACACCTAATACGATAATATTAGCAGGGCAATGCAAAACCCCATGAAAATGTATCAGGTTTAGACTTTTGAGCTGTTTTGTTTGCTTCTTCTCCGGTGACAGTCAAAATCTGATTATGTAAGTGGTGCTGTTTTGACTGTCAAAAATATCTGATCAGAGGTTTTGTCCAGCAGGCTTGTCCAAAGTTATCTGTGTCAGCCACAGTGTGAGTGAGTCCTATGGTGTCCATCAATACAGAGAAGCTATCCCCAGATTGCCTTTGTAAAACTGAAATAACTTGCACTTACACTGTTGGATGTATTTTGAAGAAACTTGACACTGTCTTCCCCTTGTTTTCCCAAAGTGAAAATTCTGCACTAAAGGTGGAAAGATGGGAAAAGTTCATGAGTAGCTCACAGCTGCTGATCGCCATTGTGTCATTCAATGTTTATGCAATTTACTGACCTGCAAAGTGTGTGTGTGTGTGTGTGTGTGTGTGTGTGTGTGTGTGTGTGTGTGTGTGTGTGTGTGTGTGTGTGTGTGTGTGTGTGTGGACTTTTGTCTATTTCTTATGATTTACATTGTTTGTTTTTTAGTTGTTACAGTCTTCTGATACATTTTTCTCCTGCTGCTGTTATGCAGTGTAGGTGTGTTTCTGCCCAGTGTCTCTGTAAATAACAGTTCATAAAATTATTTCCCCATCAATCATCTCACTGTGAGCAGTTTGTATTTCTCTTTATATTTCAGTGTTTGAAACATCAACTGTAGAAGAGCAGCAGGATACGAAACATCTGGTAGCCTATGATTTGCTGGTGAAGTGATGGAAGAGGAAACGAAGTGGGTCTCGGCCTGCGCTTGGAGAGTCTGAGGGACATGAAGACTTGGATGGCTCCAGGTAAGAGAATCTGAAGGTGGGGCACTTTGAAAAAGCATGGCATGGCCTGGGCTGCTTGATGCTGGATACAGCTCAGCTCAGGCCACGTTGCCCCCTTCTGGACATTCAGAGAACAACAGCAATCATACGGCTGTACATGTTACACGACTGAAACAGCAACTAATTAAACAACCTTATTCTAAATACAGTCAAAGCCAAATACAAATAGAAAGTACATTTCTTGTATGTGCAGCATTAGAAATGGAGTCCCTCTCACGTCCATTTCATCATTCCTGAGGTTTCTTTCATTTCCAGTTAAAAAGACTTCAGGTGTTTTTCCTCACCAGCTTGCCACACTGCTCCTGTTACTGCCCTTGAGCAAATCAACACAATCATTATTAGAGTTGGTCACTGGGTGCTGCCTACTGCCTGTCGGCCTATATTTTTAGGAGTGCTATTAAAGTATAACAGAACTTCTTCTGTATGCAATCACTCATAAAACATTTATTAATCAAAAATAATTAAGTAAAACGCACCAGTAACTGCTGGCTGTTGTGCTGTAGAGAAAAGTTTGAAAATAACATATTTCTCACAGGTGAAAGACACTGTTAACCATAGCTTCACACAGGTGTTACCAGTGGCATTAACTATGACTGTGGAATATTTAAGCGTCCCAGTGAGCCACGACAATATGGCAGTGAACCAATGCCAGGACCCTGAAACTGAAGCAGCTAATTAATGTTATATAATATTTATGCTTGTACTTGTTAACTCTTTTCTCTATCATGTCTTTTCTTCTACTGAAGTTGGCACGCTAACCAGCTTTCCAATAGCAACTTGCTGTAGCCTCCAATCTGCCCTGAAGACGTAGTGGTGTTCAGAGGGTGTATTATAACTACTTGTTTAATAAACACATCGATGGCTAAAGCTCTTGCCAAGCGACAATCACCACCACCCGTTCTGCAGAAGAGAAAACTTACAAATAGCCCCTTAAAAGTAATGGTGTGTTTGCAGGGTCTCTGACCTCCAGGTAACATGTAGTGCAGCTTGACACTCACTAGATGGCAGACATGTTACTTCTACCATGCAACTTTTCTCTCTCGCTCTCTCTCTCACACACACACACACACACACACACACACACACACACACACACACGTGCATACATCAGATGTTTCTATCACTTGTCCGGGAACAATGAAAGTTAAAATAAATAGATGGAAACATGAAACGCTGGGCAGAAGAGCGCCTGAATGATGATTTTGCCTGTGTAATGAGCATTGGTTGTTTGAGGCGATCAGTGCATGCTTTTTATTTTTTTTATGTTAGTCACACAGAAATACAGAACCTATATCCACAACACAACAGAAACTCACACTGCACAGCATATTTTCCATATTGTTAGGTGCTGATTTTGCAGTGACAACTAGAGATCCAAGTGTTGATTGGAGTGTTGTTTGCTTGCTGACACCACTGATAAGGTGAGTATCTTCCAATAGGTGCAGCGCGGTATAAACTTGTTTACTTTTAGACTGTCAGACAACAACTATGGAGTGTATGATAATAACAAGTTAATCTTGTTTAATGCTATGCTATGTGGTGAAATCATGTTTGTTCAGTGTTATACACCTATCATCTCTGCGGATACAGTCAAAAGAGGTGATGAGTTTTGTTCCAAAGACCAAGATTAGTAAAACTGAGGTTCTGCAGAGCCACCAGTCAAATAGCCTGTGTTTTGAATTACATGTCCACTGAATGAAAAGACTAAAGTTACAGCATATAGTCTGCTGGTTTGTTAACTCACAGCTGGAGGTTAGTTTCAGCTTTTCTGGGCTCACAACAACCACTTTATTGGACCAGTTTAACTCTTTTGTAAGAAAACTGATCTGCAATGGGTTTATTTGCTCTGGCTGTGTGGATCTGGGGGTCCACCACCTGTATAAACAGTGTGTGTGAGAATATGATACAGTAACAGGAGGTCACCGTCTTCTCTCCAGAGTTTGCAGGGAAGAGGACAGTGTGAGGAACGATGCAAAAGGAGTGGTGAGCAGTGTACATGTGAGAATAGGTTTACCAATTTCTCTATTCATTCATATATTCTGCATATGCCCACATCTATCCACTAATTTACGATTTATCCACATACTTATATCTCTTCTGGTCAAGGCAGTTTAGGTGCATCATCTAAATTAAGAGGGTGTTCCTACTTTATGCCACAAGGCTGGTCATGTCAGTGTCCATGCAGTTATGGGCTACTCAAAGTAAAGGATCTATTTACCTTTCTCAATCATTCTTTGAACACCTCTCATTATTTGTACTATGCTGCTGCCTCTTACCTCTCAGGGGACCAAAGAAGAAGAATGGGAATGACAGGTTACCAGGGAAGGAAGATTCTGGAAGTAGAAATAAATGAGAGCTGAATGCTGGCAGAAAGTAAGAGCAAGCAAGAAATGAGCCATATGGGAATAAGAATAAGACAGAGAGAAAACACAGAAGTAAATAGCAAATATTTGGACTGACAGGTTGCTGCTTGAAGTTTGGTTGCATGCCTAAGTTTGACTGAACTGTTGGTGCTAATACACTAAGTTACAAAATGCTGCATTACATGTATGTTTCAGAATACATTTAGTACTCTTATTTATACAAAAAGGTAAAACAAGAAAAGTAGCTGCAGAAAGATGTAAGTTTTAAAGCTGCTGTGAGGACATGGTCTGTGATTTGTCATGTTTGTACAAAAATGTGTAAAAGTACTTTTATATAAAGGTTATGTTGTATGATATGTTCATATGTAAAATATTTTGACACTGGAGACCGATGTTGATTTGCTGTGATCAGAGGCGAACAAGCACTGAACAGGGGACAGTGGATCAGTCTCAAAAGTCTCCTTTATCTTCCCTTTTCCTCATCTCCTTCTCTCAAGCCATTGGAGGAAATTGTCTAATCCCCTCCTTTTAACACCTCTTCACCAATGGGCAACCAGAGGAAATGAGTCAGAAAGGATAGGTAGAAAAAGTATTAACATTCAACCCTGGGCTGCGGTTTAGTTATGAGCTCTGTCAAGCTAAACAAAGCTTCACTTGTACAACTGGCTTTAATTTTCAAAATAAAACTTTTGAACATTGCGTTGACATTTCTTTAAATGTAATATATATTTGCCTCAATTAATAATACATTTGGTCAACATATTCTATTAAATAAAAAAAACTAAACATAATTTGATGAGCGCTTGCTATAGTTTAGCGTGTTTATGATTTTACTTTGAAGGCATGCTCATATGGTTTCCGGTACCTCTCAGACTTTTTCTAGCTAGTTTAACGCAGCTGATTAACAACTGCCTGGTTGCTAGACGACTAAATCTCCAACAGTGATGTGAAAACAGTAACATCTGCACGGGAAGAAAACAACGTTTTAACGGATTTCGAGAAGCTATGGTTAACAGTGTCTGTCACCGTATCACCGGCTCATTACGTGGCGAATCCGCAGTGTTGTGGACGCAAATTTCGAGTTGTAGCATAGCTAACGTTTCTCTTTTGTTGCCCCATGTTTTTACTACTACTAGCAAGAGGGGAAACTGAAGTGAGCTGCTTGACTTGGAAAAAATGAGAGGATTACACACGGAGAAAGTCAAGTTTTCCGACTTAACGTAACGTTTGTTTTCCTGCGATGTTTAGTGCAACTGCTAAAATGTCTCTGGAGGCGAGTGATGTTCAAACAGATGAAGACTGCGAGGAGCTGGTGAGTCCTTAGCTTTGGTTAGGTCAAGAATAAAACTGACTTTGTCCCTGAGTCTTTAGATTTGTTCTTTAATTTGTGTTTCCTTCTCGTTTCTAACATTTATCACAGCTGCGTCCACACTGAGTTTGTAACTCAAAACAGAACACAACACAATCGTTTATGACAGTTAGTCCCAACCTTTTTGGCTCGTGACCCCTTAAACTGATGTGACGTCTTCTTGGTTATAATGTCTTGAGAGCATTTAAAAAAAATCCTTGTTTGGTTGCCGACTGTTTAACTTGAAGGACTTTTAGACGTCTTGAAATTGTTCAGTGTTGTAGAATGTTTTGTATAACAGAAATAGTTTTCTCTGTTTAATCGTCTAGGTAGCCCTGAGACTTATATTGGAACCCCATATGGGGTTTTTTACACCCAGGTTTATAGGATTAATTTAGATTTAAACCCGGCCTAAACATACAGATTTTTTTTTATTAAAAATGTTATTTTTCTCACTTCTTTACCTTGGCACACACTCACTCGCCTCTCTCCTCTGTCCAACCTAGGTTGAGGATGGCTTCTCTTTCTCTGCTGATATTTTGGAAAAGGTAAACAAATCCGCTCCTGTTGTTAGTGATGTGACTGTAGGTTTATACTTTTGTCTTTCTGTTGGGTTGATGTTTTGGTTCAGGTGTATTTTGTTGTTAATAAACATTTTAGTTTAATACACCTTTCTTCTGCTTCAACGCCTTGTTTTTGTCCTCCATCAGAGAACAAGGAGGAAAAGATCTTCTGGGAAGCCTCCTTCTTCTCCAAGTAAGACCTGCTCAGCTGCTCTGTGGGGAATTTTTGCAGTTTATGTAACAAACCTGCTTTCCAAATTCCATGATTGTTGATATATGGTTGGTATACATGTAGGGTCTCCATACCTCTCCAGCCTGAATGTGAACCCCAGAAGAGCAGCAGTGGCGGCCTGGAGACTACCGAGGGCGTCCTTGGGGGACGCCAGAGGGGAAAATACTGGGGAGAGTGGCTCAGCTCGTCTCACATCCCTCAGCAACGGCCATGGTAGGCACCATATAAACGCAGCCTTAGCCACGTCTCTCCTCAGGAGGGATAGATGGAGGAGTGGCTGCTGGAAAGAGATATGGATAAAAGTGAGAGACTCAGACTGTTTGCTCAGCTGATAACTGGTTTGCTAACTTTGTAGGTGACTTTGTAGGTGTCCTGCTCAGGACTGATGTCTGTGGAGAACTGATGATAAGCAACTCTGCAAGTGTTATAAAAATATTATATTTGGCTTGATCTTTCTGGGATTTCACTTTGTTACAGCTGACATGTTAACAATAGCTGACACGAGAAACGGCAGCATTTATTTGGAGTGGTGTTTTTGTCTACCTGAGGAATGTCAGTCCAATTCCCAGCCTTCCTTTAGCTCTGTTTTGGTCTCAACCCATTACCAAAGCAAAGATCTGTGTTTATAGCTTCCAAGGTGCTCTTCTAGGATCACTTGCTAATCACTAACTTTGTCTGTCAGCTATATGGTGTTATTTGTTTGCTGAAAATATCTACCTTCTGTTGGAAGCCAGTGATTAAGAGCAGAATTTGCAAGCTGCACAACCAAAGCAGGGAGCTAAAACAGACTAAAAAGCTCCAAAGTGTTCCATTTTGCACATCAGTCATTTGATCAGTTGTTATAAAGAAACACTGGATTGGTGGAGCTTGAAAAACGAGTTTAATGCATGAATCGACTGCAGCATTGAGCTGTGTTGGAGAAAATCTCTATTCACTTCATTACCTTATTTATCCCATCAAGGTCACCTGTGAGCAGCAGCTCATCATCCAGGTCAACAAATACAAACGATAAAAAACACTGTTAATCACACAGTTAATACCAATCAAAGGTTATAAATGTTAATTGATTGATATTGATAAAGAAAAGGAAATATTTAAAAAAAAAGAAGCTGTTTAAAACATACAGTAATGAAATTGTACAGAGGCATAAAAAATTTTGTTGTTTACAACCTCTCTTCATCTTCCTCTTTTCCAGATCTTTCCCAGATGCTGAGATCAGAGTGTGATGTGACACCGGAGTTTCTCAAACAGACCCTGAGCATGAGGAAACACAAACATCTGCACTCTGCATCTAATGGTGAGAGAATGTGTTGGTGTGACAGTGGCGAGGGGAAAGGTCTGGTCTTTTGTGAGGCTGGGCGACAGTAGCAGAAAGCGACATGATCTCATTAACCATCAGTTGTTTCATACCTGCAAGGTGAGAATGTAATTGAAGTGCATTTGTGTGACTGTGTGCTGTTTCCCTATTTGCCCCTGTGTGTTGCAGGCTTCACCTTCAGCACAGGCGACCACAGAGAGAAGGAAGACATGTATGATGAGATTATTCGCCTCAAGAAGGTAAAGAGCTACACAATGAATGTTGTGTATTCAGAAAAAAGAAGCACGGTGATAGAGGTTGTCAGCACTAGCAGGCTAGGAGCTTTTTCTTCAGAATCTAAATGAAAGTGTACATCTCCGGTCTGCTGAAATGTCCTTGAGTAGGACAATGAATGCTTATCAGTTCCATTTTGCTGTTCTGTAGCTGACTCAAACCTTTATTACTCTGCTAAAACTAAAAGGGCTTTAAGACATTTTTCCTTATGCGGATTTACAGCTTTTGGCATTTCAAGTGTATTCAGACATTGTACCTCCACCTTTGCATATGCACTCTTTTATGCAGTCTCTCCTTTTATGCCTTTCGTAATGTGTGATTAATCTCTAGTACTGTTCTCTGCAGAGTCTCCAGGCGCAGAAGTCTGACAATCAGCAAATGAAAGTGAAACTACGCCGCCTGGAGGAAGATAACGCTAAAAGAGAAAAACAGATAGAAGAACTGTTGGATCCCTCTAAAGTATGATCATTAAATTGCCTCTGATTTTTGTCATAGAAACTACTAATACTTTAAAAACTGTATGATCTTTCTCTGTAGGGATCTGACTACACTCGTAGTTTGGTGGATAAGAAAAAAGAAGGGAGCGTGGTGGGTATTTCTAGACTGTTAGTGCAAATACCAGAGATTAGTTTTAGGATGCATCCTAAACAGGCTTATGAAACGGATTCTGTCTGTCAAGGTTCTCAACGGGCTGAAGCAGAGGATCCTGAAGTTGGAGCAGCAGTGTAGAGAGAAAGAAAATGCCCTGAGGTAAAATTTCTGACCGTCTATACATCAGTCCATTTGGTCCATTAGCGAAGCTGCAAGATATTTAGTTTATTCCCTCTTATTCTCCAGTAAACTGCAAAGTGAGCTGAGAACTACCAACTTGGAGGAGCTAAAGATCACAGTGGAAACCTACTCTGAAGAGGTAACATGCTGCTTTTTGTTATTTTTTCCACCTGAATGTTAAAGTAAAAATTCTTTTGGCATGTTACTGCATACAGATTTTCCAAAGTAGAACACCTGAAACAACCACCACAGGAATGAGAGAAAGAAGCCGACACTAAAAATAGTGTTTGGTTGAAAGAATTGTTCCTCGTCCCGCTCTGTGTTTCTGCTCCTGCTGTGAGAGCTAATGTTATCGTCATGTTGACTTTGGTTGCAGAGTGTGAGTTCAGCTGTGGAAAAGGAAATCTCACCTAATGTGTGTGTTTGTGTGCCTCGTCTTTCAGATCCAGAGACTGAGGGTGCTACTAGAAGCTGCAGAGAAAAGGTATACATGACTGAAAACGGCAGGATCATGCTTAAGTACCATGCTATGGACGTTTGGTGTCACAGGAAGTTGTAACAGCTTACAGTGATACCCCTTCCAGCCTGATACAGGGACCCTAAATTAAAAATTGTGTTGGTCTGCATGGGTAAAGGCGGGTCACCCGACATGCGTCTGACTGTGCTTTGGTATAAGAGTCATCACTGTCTTTTATCTTATAATAACTACAGGATTACTATACAGTTACCTCACAAATGTTTTAGGGGTTACTGGAACCTTATAGTTGAGTTTGGTTTTGACTTGTACTTGAATATAAATGTAGGTTTTTGAGTTTTCCTACATCAACTTCTTATAAGGTTAACAACTAAGAAAAAGTCCTATAAAATTACACCCCAGTGTCAGGTTGAATGTGCAGTGTGAATGATATATACTTCACTTTTATGGAACTGAAATTTCACAACTTTGTTAATCAGTTATTTATAAGTTTGTCAAATTTAGTTTGACAGTGTGTGCAGTATTCAGATACAGATCAAGTCAGTCACTTTCCTCTGCCTTCATCAACATGCAGGAAGGTAGAGAGGAACTAACAGTTTCTTTTGTAGAGTAGTGAGAGAACTCCTGATCAGAGACTTTTATCCTGGATTTAAAGGATGGCCACGGTCACAGATCAGAGGACAGGGTTGCAGGATTTGTGGTAAATGTCTAAAACAAGAGACCATCTGGTGATGGGATCACATCAGCCATGACGCCCCTCAACATTTTCGCGTTCACACCCATCTTCGAACTCAGCTTTCATTTTGATCTCAGCTACACAACTGTAAAGTTTCGTTGCTGTATCTTTCATGGTTGTTACGCTATCACTGTGACAAAATCTGCCCACACACAGAAATATAAACCTACCACAGCACTCAAAACTGCCTCACACACACACACACACACTAACTAAAAGGTGAAAACAAAACGAGCCATGCTGTCACACTTGGTAAATACTATCATCCGCTCGCTTATTAATTCTGTCTTTCTCATGAAGTCTTCCCCTCCCTCTGTCTCTTCCTGTGTGCAGTAGTCGAGCAGAGAGTAAATGCTCCCAGAGGCAGCAGAAAGCTTTAAGCTCCATGGTTCATCGTCTGTCTGAGAACCTGAAGCAGCTTCAGCAGGAGAACACAACACTCAGAGAGGAACTCAACACTGACAGTCCTGCTGGAGGGATCAAAGGTCTTTTCTCACACACAAAACCACACTGACATGCCAGACCCAGAGCTTCCAGAGTCAGCCACACTGAAGACATTTACTTCATTTATTCCTTTTATCAGTTTCTAGTTTGACTCTTGCTGCTCTGCCTCTAAACGTGACAGCTTTGACTCCGTTCACTACAGCTTTGTTGGTTTACAATTTTGAAAACTGGAGTCAATTTATGACATTTTGAAAAGTGTATTCTATAGACAGGAAGGTATCACATTTTGTGAGTATTTGCTGGCGTTCATAGTCCTCTATAATAATAAACAGAATATTTTTGGGATTTGTTTTGTTGGTCAGACAAAACAAGCAATTACAAGTTGTCAACATGGGCTTTGTGGAAATGTAATGGGCTTTTTTAACTATTTTCTGACATATTATTTAAATAATAAACCAACTACTGGAGAAAATGATTGACAGATTAATCCACTATGAAAACAATCTTCAACTGCAGACCTAATCAATTCTCAACCCTGAATTAAAGTATGTAACACCATTGTGGTATTGTATTCTGTACTGTGATGCAGATGAAAAAATGGGTGTCTTTGTGTGATTATGTTCCCTAGGTTACAGAGACTGGAGTAAACAGAGACTGTTGCGCAGGTTGCTGGAAGTGGAGAAGGTGAGAGGAAACTAACTAGTTTTAACCATATGTGACTTACACCAGCTAACAAGTCATGTAAACACATAGAGATTACAGCTTCATCACAGACTGACTCCTCTCTCCTCCTATCAGAGGCCGGAGGACAGCAGAAGACATACCCAGTCAGCGAAAAGCAGCAGCCGATTGGATCAGGAGGTCCAGGCCACACCCACTGAGATTCTGAGGTTTACCATGGCAACAGAGGCAGTGGTCTCCGTGGGAACAATCACTGAAGAAGGGGAGGAGGATTCAGATCTGAGAGAACGCGTCAGCCAATTGGAGAAGGAGAGGGTGGAGCTTCAAGAGATGCTGTCAAGTAAAGAGTGAGTGAGAAGCAACATGATGTACAATACAAACATCTTCTCAAGCCTTTGTCAATCTCAATTGACCAAATTGAGGTTGACAAAGGCTATGAGCATAAAGCTACTGAGTTTTGTTTGTGAGACTAAATCTGTGTTGTGTTTCTGCATTTCAGTGATGAATTGAGACAGTTGAGGACAGAAAGAGAGGAACTGGAGAAAGAGACAGAACGATGGAAAGCTGAACAAACGAGTGAACGGGACAATGAAAAACAGCAGCATAAGTATGTTTTGCTTGCTGAGTGTAACATTTTTATGTCTGCTGTTTGTAAGCTAGAAATGTATAAGGTCCAGAATGGTTCTGCATGTTTTTACGATCAAAGTCATACATATATTCATCATCTTTGAATGTTATTTTGCTGTTTATATCAAGAACTTTCTGAAACTATTGATGGACTATTTATTTACATTTGAAACAGTAGTTTTAACAGGGAATTTTAATTATGCCCATTGTAGAGATCATGCATTTGTCATACAGAGGCTTTGTCCCACCAAACACAGTAGAGATCCACCTGAGAATTGTCTTTATGTTAATAATGGTTAGATATATAACCTCCAGGCCACAAACGGAGATAACTGAAAGAGATGGGGCAGTGTCCGAGATGTGGGTGATAGTCTAATCAATATTATAAATAAATTAGATGATAAAGAAGAATTGTTTACAGATGTCGTTTGCTCTACAAACTAAAGCGTGGTCAGCTGGAAAAAGTCACTTTTATAGTTTCTTTAACCTAAACTAACCAGCTAAGTAACAAGTCCACAGGCTGCTTATACTAAACTTGTTTGATGGTGTACAAGTCAGATATGGTTAAAACAGTGAGGCTTGGCTCAGTCCAAGCACATAATATCTGCCTGCTACCATGGTGCAGTTGGCTAAAATCAAATCTCACCACATGGACATGCAGACCGCTCAGAATAAATTGTAATATTGAGCTCTAAACCAAAGTCATGGGTTTCGAAAGTCTCTGCTAACTAATTGCTAACTGTGAGAGGACATCCACTATGGCTGCTGGTTCTGTTTTGTCATCTATTTATGTATTGTGTGTGTGTGTGTGTGTGTGTTTCTCAGACAGGAGTTGGAGCAATTGTGGGTGAGGATCCGAAGTCTGGAGGACGACAAAATCAAACCTGCACTAGCTGAGCTCTCCTCTCCTTCTGCCACAACAGCAGGGGACCATGAGGACAGTCTGGGCAGATCAGGTCAGACGGAGACAGAGGAAAGGGACGATGGCAGTACAGAGAAGGAAGGGGACAGAGGTGAAGATTTGGATAGAAATGTAGAGGAGAAGGGGAGTGAGAAAAGACAACATAAAGAAAGAGAGAAAGCAGCAAGGATCATCCAGACAAACTGGAGGGAGCATAGAAACAGGGTATGTAACACACCACAGTTATGTAAAAGAAGTTATTGATGTGTGAGAGAAATATTACATAAAAATATCCAGACACTCTGTCCCAGATTTCTTTCTATCTCCATCTCTTTGCATTCTATCTTAAGGACATTGTGATGTTGCAGTCAGCATTAAGAGGCCATCTCCTCAGAGAGGCGCAGCTCAAGGACCTGCTGAAAGACACGCACATTAAGGTTTCACCCACACACAAACATTTCCATACAGTAAAGTTGTGAGAATCCGATCACACATCAGAATGGTCATATTCAATCACCAGTATTATTCTTGGTAATAATATCACAAGTACTTTTTAAACTATGGGCCATTTAAAAAGCATTTTCTGGTATCTTACTGCGAGCTCCCGAGGTCTCCTCACTTGTTTGTCAATCTCTGAATCTCATCTCTTCCTCATCTCGTCTTTTCAGGCTGTAGAAGCAGCAAACCACAGTGATGTAGCTTCCTCTGTAGGTGGAGAGATGGATGCGGTTGCCTTGACGATGATACAGTCTGCTTTCAGGGGACACCTGGCTCGCTGTAGTCTTGCAATAGAGAGGTGACTCATTTATATACACACAAAATAAAAATAAAAAATACATTCAAACATACAGAACATAATGCAGTATTGTGCGTGTGTGTGTGTGTGCGCGCGCACTTTAGCTCAGGGTTCTCTGTGCCTTCTCCAATGGGAAACAGTTTGCCCACGCCGGTACCAAGAAGAGCTCGCTCAACACCCAGCAGAACAGGTCAGGTTCACACATACCTTGTTGTGATTAAATATTTGTTGTATATATGAACACACTCGCAGAACAGAGCAGAAACAAACAAACACGGTACACTGCAAAAAGACTTCCTGCTCCTCTGTCTCAACCCCATCTTATGGTCATGTAGCTCAAACACAAATTATTATATGTGTGTTTTTTGTGTTTATAGCATACACTTAATTTCAGTGAATGCGTTTAATGCCTCTGTGCCTTATATGTGTGAGTTCCCTGTTAAAGTCATGATCAGCAGTGTGTACTTTAGTAATATGGGATTCCTTGACGTTGGAGGTGTAGAAAGGCTTTGTCAGGAAACACATCATCGATACAACCACTCAAGATTGTCAGTGAGGGTTCAGGCTTGATGTTTGCTGTGTGTGCAACACCATGGCATCGCCCTGCTCTCAACCTCAGAATTACTCATGATGTCTTCCCTGACAAGTTTATGAGTAGTTATGGATATCTCTGGCACACTGATCTAATTTCAGGGTGCCTGTCTCCTCTGCACCAGCCAGAGCTTTGATAGCTCCCTATTAAAGACTGATGAGGGCACTCAGCAGCCCTGTGGACCAGTACTGTCGCTACCTCACATCACCCTCTAAAAATATAAAGTTACCACTGCTCAAGAGCCTTGTCCTAAGCTTCAGTCTGACCTAATTGACCCTGCAAGACTCCACTGCTTTCACCATCTCTCCCCCCAATTCCCTGAATTTCTAATAGGTTGACAGCAGATGGGTGCATAGAGCAGAGAAGTGATGTCAGCAGTTTCCCTGCATGTTTATAGACTTCCCCTCCATTTGATGTTATGCAGGCTTCACAGATTTTCGACTGCACCATCTTCACTTGTGATCCTGAAAAAGTTATTTTATCTTAAAGTTTTTGCAAGGAGAAGTAGGGTTGTCACAGCTTTGGATTTGCATTGCTTTGCAGGGTGAAGAACGTGTGAAAAGAAGTTATGATTTAAGCATGACATGGTCCAAGGTCCATATATTTGTACGCATCTTGTTAAAAGTACTGCAGCTGCATCATCTGTACGGACATGTTTGAGGACATGTCTGACTTGGTGACATTGGTTATGTGTTGCTTTGTTGTCAAGGTGCTGCATCCCTGCATAACGACAAAAAAAAACTGGGTGATGAAGAAGACCTGTGGCCTGTCTCCAGCAGTCATGCCTCCAGAATGACACCCACAACAGGTTAGACAGAGAGGGGAGATATGTTTTACTGTTTGAACTGTTAAAAGCACATAAAATCTTTGAGTCCTCCCCTATTTTATATGTGCTGATGTATCTGTGTGTAGAGTTGAAGCAGTGTGTTAGAATAAAATGTTTGCTGGAGGGAACTATGCTGAAACCAGAGCCAAATCATTTTAAAATCTGAAATATTTATGTAGAAGTATGCATATTGTAAATTGCAGACTGCTTAAAATTGTACATTTTAGGGCTCTTTAGGTTAAATGGAGTTAAATAAAATGATGCCCAGGCGATTAATCACAAGTATACCTGTATATCTCCTGTAGACCAGACAGAGCTCCATTGCACAGCTGAGACTGGAGGAGCTGCTGCAGTGGATTCTGATGATTCGGATGATATCATCGTGTCTCCCTCGCGTCCTCTGAGAAGCAGAGAAGTCTTAATCTTATAGACCTCCTGAGTTGTGTGAGTTAGTGTGTTGTGTGTGTGTGAGTGTGTGTGTGTGAGTGTGAGTGTGAGAGAGAGAGAGAGACAAAGTGTAGGCAGGAAGAATTTCTGCTGTGTTCTTACTCAGAGCCTAAATGTCAGAGGTTTAAATGGCCGTTTTTGTCAGGGTTCCTATTGAACATGCAAATGATAGCTGGGATATTCCAATATTATTCAAGATGATAGTGGAACATACACAATATTTGCCTATTTTGTCATCTTTAAGAGCTTCTCCAACAGTAATAACCAGCATATTCTGGGAAGTCAGGTACAGGATCTTTTATGACATGGAAATACATGGCACATCAACACCTCACTTTCATCATGCTCTTATTCAGGATACTGTCACAATAGAGTCTTGACTGACTAATCACCCAGTTTAGTGTTTAAATGCTTGGACCAGAGGTTTAGGGATTTATCGTCAAAGTGGAGGAAAAAGCACTAATGTGAACAGGAAATGAAGCACCCTATTCATTTTGATCTGTTATTCTTGTGGTTTATCATTTGAGCCAGATATTCTCAGTGGTTTGCCAAAGTGCCTCCTGCATGGATATTCAGATTTAAATTACAGAAGTAAATGCTTTAATTTCTGTTAAGATGACTAGTCAAAGTGAGGCAGATCACTGTAAAGTCCTCTGCATTTGACAGGCTTGAAATAATTAATCAATTTTGACATGCCAGATGTGTAACACATAAATTTCCTTACACTAATATATCATGTTTGCTTATTAAATTATGACTGATTCCGAGGTATGACTGAGGGAATGATGCACTCAACCGATGCACTATTGAGCGAAACTGTGAATAAATTATAGATAAGCCTGCTGCAATACTCAACACACAGTCAGTACAACGGAGGATACACAGGGAGTATGTGTTATGCCAATGTTTGTTCTCTGAAATAGACTAATGATAACCTGTAGGGAGGTCAACAAAAAAAGTGCAGGAGTGCAGTTTCCACATGATGTATGTAACTTGATTTCTGAGACACTCAATAAAATGCTTTTTTTTTTTTTTTTTAATAATACCTTCTTTGGTCTGATATGTTTCTTGCTGGTAAGATTTACTCAAGTACAGTACAGTTTGAGGTACTTTTAGTTACTTTTTAGATGAATAATTTACGTGGAAATATGCTGTAAGAAAAGCTTATAAAATTATTAATATGAGTTGTTGGCAGTTTTTGCACCTCAGGGTCACCACAAGTGTCCCTTAAAAATCTGAATGCACCCTTCACTGCTGGAAAGGTCCTTGGTGTAACATGTACTACCGTGATTTCAACGTAAGGGGGTGGTCTCTCTGCGCATTTGCTCACTCACACTCTCACAGTCTCTCTCTCTCTCTCTCTCTCTCTCTCTCTCTCTCTCTCTCTCTCGCTGTCTCACATACACACACACTGAGAGCTGGAGCTGCCGCAAAGCCCCGTCCTCCAGGGCTTTTTAAACACCGTGTTTGCTTCACGCTCCAACAATATCATCCAATTGAAGAGCCGCAGCGCTAAATGCACTGAACCGACGGTCATCGTGGGAACAGCGCGGACGAGCACAAACCGTCATGGTTTAAGAGAAAGACAACGACGGCATCGTCAAGTGTAAAAAAAAAAAAGATACTGGGTTGCGGGTCAACGAGTTTAACCCTTAATCTTCCGTAGCGTTGTTGCTGACTGGTAAGGTAGTCCAAACGGGAAGGCGTCTCGGTGAAATGTGAGCGGACTGGGTCCGTGACCGTTATTCCATTATTTTCAATGTGGTTGGGACCGCAGCCGACTCGCTCGTTGCAGCTAGCTCGGTACGGCCGCGTTGATGCAGCAGCGCACGGCTGTGGGGTTCAAATCCACCACCGGATCTGGGAAGACAATAGGTGAAATATACGCCGGCCTGGACTCCCAAGACTACACTAAACGAGAGTCTGCATCCGCTTGGGCTTCACTAGGTGAGTTGCAACACGGTTCCTATTCCTCAACACACGGGCTTTGATGTCCACAGACATGGAGCCCTGAAGCCAGCTCCTGCCTTTTCTCCTCCTCGTTGCCTTGACGACTCTGTCAGACTGCGGTAGTTTTAACGGACAAAGCGGGATAATGCTAGCTAATCCGGGTTTTGCTAACATTTTATTGACTCGACGTAGAAGAATGAATAAGGCTTGCTGCATGAATATGTGAGGATACCCGCGATTGAGTTGACCTACATGTGTGGGTACAGTAAAATCAATGTAATAGAGAGAGTCGTGCCTGTGTGTCGGGTTTGATATAACGGCCATTTCACCGTCCACATCACGTTTATCTCACCAAGCCTGTCTTTTACAGCACGGGCGTAAATTGGGAGATGCGATGTAGCTGTCAGCCATGCTATTGTCATTTCATAATTCATGTACAGTAGGACTGAATACAGTATGACCTCATAGGTTTAATATTTGCTTACAATGGGCTATTAAAAAACATTTCAGGACAAAGATTCCCTAGTCGATACTGAAAGGTTTATTGGTAATAAGAGTAGAAATAAAAAGTGAGCTGTTTTATGACATTAATATACTGACCACAATTATCATGATACAGGCACATTACATGCCATATTACACGGCAGTAAACCACAATACACCAGGGACTGTGAAGGAAAACACCCCTTAAATGGCAAAATAATAGTATTTATCCAATTCATCAGAAGCACTCTCAGTTTAACAAAGATAATTGAAATGAAGTAATGTGTCATATTGCAGTGTTTTGGCCCTCTTAACCACACACTCCACAGCAACATGTTCAGGAATGTCATTGGTAGTTAAGGGCATGCACTGAGTGGAGAAGGGATACCCTGTTTTTCACAAGTGAAGTCTTTTCATTCGATGCAAATCTAAAATAAGCAAATTGTCATGAGAAATTTAAATGATATATGACATTTAGAAAACAGCAATACTTTGTAAGTGTATTTCTAACTCACGGCCAGGTGGTGTATGCAATACTTTGGCATGTTAATGTTGATTGACATGTTTGTTCCACCCTTGTTAGTGACTAATAACTGATAACTGATCACATTGGCCTTGTAATAATGTCAGTCATGAGGTTTTGGTTGTAGACAGTATTAGCACTAAGGACTGTGGACACTTTACCTTCATCTTGCTTAATATGTTTGTCAAAAATTACATTTATAATAGTTGTTTACCAGCTTTGCCACAGCCATGTCAGGAGTTGTGAATTATGCATGATGTAATTTCTTTGCCCCGTTAACTTACAGTGGTCGTGAATTTCTTTTCAGTGTCTGTGTGAGGAATCGGGGTTATTGAGTGAAGTGACAGCCGGCAGGTCATTGCATCAGGATGGCGGCTGTAGTGAACTACTCCCCACCTTGGTGGGTGAATCTACTGCACCGATTGCCTCATTTCAATATCGAATTCCAGCTGGTGAGCAGTGACTTCAGACCTGAGGACTCTGAGTACCAGAAGGTAAGACAAGTACAGGGGAATAATAACCTCCCACTCAGAATTCATCATCCCCTTCATCATGCAGCATCACCTAATCATCCTACCTCCTGCCACCTACCCACACTGTAATTTCACAGCAGAGTGGCAAAGTAGTGACTGAGGCTGTCCTGCAACCACAGAGTTGTGGGTTCCCTCCCTGCATCGATCAGTGCTCTGTGTGCATGTGTGTGTGTGTATGTGTGTTTGTGAGTGTGAGAGAGACAGAGAAGTGTCCTTGATCAAGGCACTGAACCCCTACCTGCTCCATCGTTGTTATTAGTCGATTAGTCAGGTGATTCCCATCCTGGGGTTCAGGACCCCTAATGGTTGCAATGTAAATCTCAGGCATTGTGAGATTAATAGCAAGTTATTTTTTAATAAAAAAGTCAAAACATTTCTTCTACACCAAATTATGTTTGTTTTTTCAAATTTTTGCTTTTCATTTTTGAAATATTGGAGAGTCGTACCTCTTCACCACTTGTAAAACTATTAAAATTGTAAAAAAAAAAAAGTGTTTCCAGTTTTCCACAGCTCATAGGCCATAGACATGCAAGCTGTGATTAGGTGTACTGTGTTGAGTAGGCACCGCTTGCCTGGCTCTCCAAAGGTCACAAAGGTGTGGTAACTAATGGATTAGTCAAAAGGCAAAAATGATCACTAACAATTCTGATGATCGGTTCAGATGATTTATAAAGCTGAAATGCCAACCGTGGTCCAGTTCCAGTTTCTTAATTGTGAAGATTTTCTACAATTATATTGTTGTTAATTAAATATCTATGGGCTCTGGACTGTTCTTTGGACAAAACAAGAAATTTGAGGACATCATCTTGGGCTCTGGGAACTTGCGATGGGAATTTATAACTATTTTCCGTCATTTTATTAGATAAACAATTAATTAATTGAAAAAAAATAATCTGGGAGGAAAAACAATCATTAGCATAAGTTAAAAGCATAAAACTAATTGCAGTCTTTCTTTGATAAAACACTCTCTGAGTCGGAAGCGCTGCCTTAGAGAGCAGCTCCATCGAAGAGTGGCTTTGGCCCAGTTTTTCTACATTTCATTAGAATCTGCAAACAAGGTGACTTCCAGGTCTCTGCAGCAGAAATGAAGCAGAAAAGAACAGTCTTTGGAGCTCCGCATGAAAGCCAAGACATATCGTTTAGAGTCCTACATTTCATGCGCTGCAGTCACCCCTCAACATAGTGTGCTGACATGTATGGGGAGTGGAGGGAAGGCGTGCAAGTTCAAGAGCTGAGCGTGGGAAGGCACCCACGGCCATGAACAAGGGAGGGAGATGAGAACTGGAGAGAGAAGCAGGAGAGAGGAGGAGGAGTGAGAAAGATAAAAAGAGACTGATTGGAGGCGAGAGGAGAGAGAGAAGGCTCGATGAGCCATGGGAGGTGCTTCTAAATTGCCAAGTAGCCACTTCCTGCGAGCTATTCAATGTTTAACTAAGGGCCTTTGTGTGTGTGTGTGTGTCAATGTGTGTGACCACTGGAATTTTAAGGACCCCCTTTTTATACTAATTACATCCTGACATATTTTAGCAGATGGTGCTGTTTCTATGTCACTGATCATTCTGCACCATGATCATATGTTTGTTTGCACGTTATTTGTATGTACAGTTGTGGATATCATATGTGCTGTATGTTCAGTATGTTCAGTTTCTGTGTCAGTGCGTATTTAGCTCTTAGTGTTGTTTGTTGAGGTGAGGTCACAGATCTCCCTCGGGGGTTGTGTGTGTGTGAGTGAATATAGGGGTTCTATTCAGGGTGAAATCATTAATTCTGGCTAGACGGGGGGGGGAGATAGAGGGTGAGAAGAACAAGAAGAAGGAGGTTGAATTGGGTTGGGGGAGGGAGGGAGTGAGGAGGGAGGGAAGGGGGAGAGAGTGGGAAGGGGAGGGCTGTAGTCTGTTGTGAAAGAATGCTCTCTTTCTTTCTCTCACTCTTTCACTGAAGCCCGTCTTTAGATTGGCTCAGTGTATCTGTCTCAAAGGCTTTCATGCATCCACTCATCCAGCTGAGAAACACACAAACAGACACACACATACAAACAAGGTCCTACACAGTGTCCTTCAGTGCGCTGAGTCCACCACACCACAACGTAGCACACACTCACACACACACTCTCTCACACAATAGAGAGAGATTCTTCTGTGTAGTGTTTTTCTTTCTGATGTGATTTGGCTCAGGTTCATTTGTATTCAGCTCTTGAGCTCTGAAGCTGCTCAAAACTTTCTTCTCACACAGTGTCACTCACTCACTCACTCACTCACTCACTCACTCACTCACTCACTCACTCACTCACTCACTCACTTTTCCTCTCTTATGCAGGAGTTTTTCTCTTAAACAAACAAACTGTTTAGTATTCATTCACCACAGCAGTTGGTCTCTGATGACTTTGACTTTATTGGGGATGCTGACGCTGTGGCTTTTTGCAAGAAAACTGTTTTATTTATTTATTTTTATTTTTCCTGAAGAGCTGAAATCGGAGCTCTTATCCTGAGGTTCTGCAAGGCATTGGAATAGCATGTGTGCCTATCCGTGTGTGTGTGTGTGTGTGTGTATATGTGTGTGTGTGTGTGTGTGTGTCTGTTCATCTGTTTGTATTACGGAAGAATCGCAGAGTCAGCTACCAGCCACAGTTTAACAGCTGCAGAACATTACAGAGGAATCATGTGACCTGTAATAACACACACACATATTCCCAGCTGTGGAAAGTAAGTCAGTAATTGGTATTTTTTTGAGTAGTGTGCTAAAGTTTGCACAGTGGAAGACATTATCTCATAGTGTTTTGAAAAGGATCAGAGAGGACAAAAGGTGCCACTCTTGAATCTTTTTTTTGTGTATAGAGGTTAAAAGCAAACTATCTGGGTCTTTGTCTGAATACAGAAATTGATGTTAGTGTTTTGGTTGCACTTTAACCCAGAAGTACAGGTGAATATAAGCAGCATGAACTCGAGGTCAGTCAGCGCCTCCGGAGAGACGTTGAGAGGATAGAGGGCAAGGCCAGACTACAGAGTAACACACAGGCAGAGAGAGTGCAAGGACAACTCGCTGAAGTGGAAGTGATTGATCCTGTCAGCTCAATCATACACACACACATTCACAGGCGTGCACATACACACACTTAAACGGACAGATTGAAAGTAGATCACTGTGCCTGGGCGTTTAACATTTAGCCCCTCCTCCAGCCTGCAAGCTGATCTCCTGGAGCTGTTCACACACACACACACACACACACACACGCACACGCACACACAAACACACACACACACACACACACACACACACTTGCATGTAAGCACGCACACACATACATGCACAACCAAGCTCACCATGCTTATTAGTAGCTAATTGATCCACACTTAATCTGCTCTGATGGTTTGTCAGCCTGACAGTTAATCTAGCGGCCATCGTACACAGTGTGAGGAGAGTGAGGTAGCTGCAGAGACCTGGTCCATAGTCAGATTATAAATTTAACATTAAGCCCATACACCAAGAGTCCTGGATCAGCTGTTATTACTCTGAATGGCCACTAGTTCTGAGATGATTAGTTGAGTAAATATCTACTATATTAGCTGTTTTGGTTATCAATTAATAATTTAAAATAAATAGTGAAGTAAAAATGCTAGACCATAAGTGGGTTAAAGCATTCGCTGTGTTTCTCTGTTTTGTATTTTTGCATACTTAATACTATTGGGATTTGGACTAAAAACAAGTCATCACAAGACGTTTTTTGAAACTGTGACAGGCATTTTTCATTGTTTTTGGACATTTTCTAAACTAAGCAGTTATTTAAATAATAAAAAAAAGGTTTCGATTAATGGACTAAAATAGTTTTATAGGGCTACAGCCAATGATCATTTTCATTATTGGATAATCAAATGATTATTTTCTTGATAATCAATTTTTTTCTATAAAATGTGGGGAAAAAAAAAATTTCTTGGAGCCCAAGGTTATGTATCCAAAGGGTATATGACCAAAAGAAAGCAGCAAATCCTCAAATTTGAGAGGCTGAATCAGTTTTTCCAGCTCTAATAATAATTTTATATTTCATGGTAAAAAATACCACACTTTGTGTCCCAGCGTCTTTCACCTCCACCACTTTCCTCCATATCATGGTGTCTATATCATCCTATTGTCATTCCTGGAGCATGATTTATAAGGGATGTCATGAAAATATCCATCATTATATACTGTAGTGTGAGGTTTTGTTCTCATTCTGCAAAGCTTAATGCATGTTACTGTAAATGGTATTAAGTCCTAATGTTGATTTTAAAGTCACAAGAGATCAAACAATACATTAGAGGAGCACAGTTCGCCTTTACCTCAGCACAACGTCTCTGTCGCGAGCTAAGCTCATAGATAATAACAGAGGATAATACTAGAGACTAGGAATCTGCAGAGCTTATCTCCCCCTTCTCTCCCATCAGGATCCTCTCCCCCCATCCTCCACTCATCTTCTTTAACCTGTTGGAGAAAAGCAGTCAGGGAAAAAGCAATCAACTGAATTTCCTCTGGCTCAGCCATAGCTTACCACCTGCTCTCCCACCACAAAGGAAGAATGTGATAATGACAGAAACACAGCATTATTGACAACATAAATGCACAGAATTCCCTTCTGATATTTGTGGAAGTTGAAACTTAAGTTGTAATAGTGTAGCGCCACAATTAGTTTGTAATATTCAAACTAACATCGTCACCACCACCCAACGACTGTAACTATTTTAAGTAGGTAGTGACCTCAGAAAATATAGGTGTATTGATGCTTTTAATAGGGACTGAGACTTGTGGTTTGAAAATTAGCACTCCTCTCCCTTCGGATGTCACATTATGCCACTGCAGGTCACATCCTGTCATGTATCGTAATGTATCCTATAATGGTCTAGCTAAGTGACCCACAAGCCATGCTGGATTGGCTGAGGCCCTCCAGATTTGATGCATTACCCTTTGCTGGCCTGGTTATACATCTGCCACAGGTCATAGTTAATGCTGACCTTATTAGACCACATTGTTTTTCAATGAGAAAAGAGATTTAGTTAGTGACAGTATATCAGCTGGCTCTTGTATGACTGGTCAGTGTGAACAGTTATTTCTATTATGTTTTACAAGTTCAGGACCTCAAGGCCACAGGGACGGGATGAATCTCTCAGATAAGCAATAAATCATATTTTGCACTAACAATCTAAAGTTTTACTGGAGATCACAGTTTTTTTTAGCGGTCTCCACTTTGGTCCAGACTAAAATATTGTCATGAAATTTCTCAACGGACTAGTGATGCATGGATCGACTCTGCTGTCATCCCAATCCGCATGTATGCATAAATCATCCACCTGCCACCCACCCGATCATATTATTTTCCACAATTTAGATACCCACAGCCGATCACACATTACCATCATTTCTCAGTGGGATATTACATGCAACGTTTTAATTCTAAATGTCACTGCTACTTCCCGAACACAAACAGCTTAAAAGCTCATAGTAACGTGTTCAGAAGTCGAAACACAGGGTCTGATTCGTGCCTGACGAAAATGAAGCTTAAATATGTTCACGTTTTAGAGAATGTCATTAATATCTTTCTCCTACATTTTAAATTCACCCACTCACAACACATCTGCTGTTAATCATCATGTTAATTTTTATGATTCGGCCCACTTTTGATTTCGCTCCATCATCGGGTCAAAATTTTACAGTCCAGTACTTTGGTTTATGACCGAATTTTCTGCAAAACTAGTAGCATTTCCCTCGGCACTCAGCTCAAAGAACCACTATGTACAGTCTCACAGATCCGCTAGCCTGGCTGTAGACTCTTAAAAACCCAAAACCTGGATCACAAACAGTTTTGGTATGTTACCCATCAAAACGAAACAATGTCTACATCAGCAGTCTTATATGTCTGTGGGTAGGGACCAGTTCTGTTCATTTTTTATCATTTCAAATCATTTATCATTAACAAATCAATCTTGTTAATGATCTTTTGTGGGTCCCTGTCTTCAGGTTTGGAACCACTGCACTGAAATATTATGCTTTACGTTGCCTACGTATGGTTTAAGAAACAAAAACCATCACAATTAATTAATGTTCGAATATAATGTGAATTCTGGCAAATATACACTCATACAATATATGTGCATATTTACAGTAGAGGTGCATAAATTGCTGCAGGGTGAGGAAACTGCTGGCTGGCAGTGAGGAAAAAATTAGGTCAGTAGAAAAATCGGCTGTTTAGAAGTCAGTCTTGGAAGCCAGGAAGTCTGTGAGTATCTTGGAGGTGGAGTCAGACTGTGTTATCATCCACAGAGGAGTCCCCTGAATTACAATGTTGCTGTTTCCGAACAAGCAGAGCCGTGGCAGGATTCCTTTGTCTAAAGTGGTCTTGCAGGTGGAGATTTGGTTTACCAGAAACGTGCCTTCGTCTCTTCACGGTCCCTGCAGTAGAATGACTTTTCCAGACTAGTCCAGAGGGGAAAGAAAAACTAACATTGCAGTGTGTGTGTGTGTGTGTGTGTGTGTGATAAAAAAAGATTTCATCAGTTCCAGGCAAACTGCTGTAACAGCCCTCATCCCTGTCTTTATCCATTTCTCCCTTTTTAGTGTTCAGTTCAGTCATCTTCTTTCACATCTTCTTTCTGTTCTGTCTTTCCAGCCTGTCTCTTTTTTTGTTCCAAATTTACACCACCACCCCCCACTTCTCCGTCTGTCTGCCCCCACCACCCTTTCCTTCTTTTACACTTCAAAGCTTTTAGAGGGTATGTGATCTGTGTGGTGGGTCTCTAGCGCACGCAGCTCCCGAACAGCATCGCTTCCGCTCACACTGTGGAGGTGTGCGTGTTTGATGGTGTGCAAATGTGTTTTTCACGGTATCCATCAAACGCCCATTAAACAGCAACTATTTTCTAGTCTCAAATAGCTGGAGAGAGTAGCACAAGATGTGTCTGTGTGTATCTGTCTACACAGGAAAAACTAAATCATGTGGTCTCTCCATGTATCTGGTTTCTGCTCATATCAGCTAATTTGCTTCCTGTATCCTTCACCCTCTTCCTAAATTGTCCCTTTCCCTGTGATAAGGACGACTATTAAACATGAAGCATTTGTTTACAGAATGAATCAATCCCAAAGTTTGACCCAAAATGTGTAACATAAACTGTATCATGAAATCGTACATTTCTTGCTGCCACTAATTGTTTCTTTCTCTCTCCCGCTTCTCTCCAGTCTATTTTGCTGCTTGGTGCTGTGGCGTTGTTATGTTTGGGCCTGGACCTCCTCTTTCTCCTCTTCTACTCGTTCTGGCTTTGCTGCCGGCGACGCAAGAGTGATGACTCCTCACACTCCCATACACACTCTCAGCAGCCTAGCGCCGACTGCTGCTGCACGGCCTGGTGCGTCATCATCGCCACACTCGTCTGCAGGTGAGAGGTTATTCCCTTAAGAGTGACACCTTTATACATTTAAACGGCAAGTGTATTTGAAGGACGTTTAACCCCCTCTAGCCCTGGTAACCACTTCCACATGCTATAAGATTTGTTTTATTAAAGGGGTTATTTGTAAGTTTTCTGTGACGCTGAACATGGTTTCTTGCTGGGAGCGGGTGGTGATGATGTTCGGTTGCCAAGAGCTTCAGTCATTGTTGCGTTTAACAATACAAGAGGTTATAATATGTCCTCTGAGCAGTGCTACTTCTTTGGGGCAGCCTGGACATTACAGTTACTCACTATCAGAGAATGACGATACGGTCCAGCCAGACCAAAGCTAGCTGGTTAGCGTGCTAACTTCATTAGAAGAAAAGAAGTGATAGAAATAGAAGCAAAGCGAGAGTTCACATTGGCGGTGGTTCTCACCTCTGGAGACAGCTCTTGGCGAATAAACAGCTGTTAATGCAAATGTTGGCTATGTAGCAATAGCAAAACTTACAAATAGCTCCTTTAAGGATACTTGAGTGAGTAGGAGTTGATATAGTTAATCATTCTACACGTTCAAAGGAATTGCCCTGTAGCCTTAAGTGGAGACTCTAACTTTTCTCCGGGGATTTACAGGGGGGGGTCCACTGATTTGCTGGCTCTGCATACCACAGCCTGTTGGTGTACAGCTGTATAGAGAATGCCACTAAAACTGCACAGGGCAGACACTATGTCTGACTCAATGTCCTTGAATTAATAGTCATATTTCCTTCCAACAGTTTTTTGCACATTTTCAATTTGCACATTAAAAACCTGTGAGGAAATACCAGAAGTGCAAAAACAATGTTAATATCAGAAAAACCTTTTATGATCGGCTGTTTATGCTTCTTCTACTTCATATAAAGCATTCATTTAACTGCCACCCCAAGATATAGACAATACAACAGTGGAGAGGACAGGGATCTGCACGTACAGTAACTGTAATGTCCCAAGTTCGAGTCTATCTGTTGTATCAGCTCTATCTCCATAGCAGCTGATACAACAGATAAATTCCTTCTCGTGAAGAAAAACACAAATGCTATCTGAACTTGTTGTAGTTCCTGGAAGCGCTGATTCACTTTTATTTTGCAGAAATTTCAGAAATGTGTTTATCTAGTCTGCCCTATATACTGTACACTGTGTATTGCAGTTGTTGTATGAAATCATTATACTTTTAATTCAGTATGCTCCTCTGTGAATTTGGAGAGAAGACGGGATAAATAAACAGAAGGGGGGGGGCAGTCTGATGAAACCCCTTTGAAAACAAATAGACCATTATTGTGAAGAAAAAATCCATCAAGCATAAAACATCACCTCTCTTCTCTCTTCCTTCAATGTTGACATTTTGGTGATACAATGTTTTCAGCCAACAGCCGCCATATGTGCATTATGACTGTACATTGCACCAATCAAGCTCACTCATTCTTGTGTAAACCTAAAAGCCAATGTGGTGTAACTGGGAGCCAGCCAGGTGGTTACACTCCTCTGTTTGTGTTTATCTGACTGTGAAGGCTGTGTGTACACGCTGAGGTCTTTGACCTAAGGGACCCAGCAGCAGAGTAGAGTCTATTTTGACCACAGATACTGAGCTGCATAGACTCTGCTCCTCTTGGCACAAAAATGCACACGCAAATATACAGACTATTGCTCTTTCGTTTACTCTCTTGTTACTTTTCCCCTTCCCCTTTCTTGACTTGTTCTGCCCCTCTTCCCCTTTTCTTCATCTCCGCCAGTCCCCCTCCGTTATTTATTATTTCTCTGTGTTCGGCCCTCTCCCTGGCCTAGAAAGGTTGCCATGGAGACAGAAGCGAATTTGATGCAGAGAGTAGAAATGAATTATACAGTCAGGGGGAGCTGTGTGTGTGTGTGTGTGTGTGTGTGTGTGTGTGTGTGTGTGTGTGCGCGCGTTTGCGTGACTCAGTGTTGGAGAGTGTTTTTACAGGCTTTAATATTTTATGATTAGCTATAATATTTCTTTTTGAATATTTGATATGGATCTGAGCCTGTACGCATGCGTTTCTGTGTGATTGTGTATGTGCGTGTGTGTGTGTGTGTGTGTGTGTGTGTGTGTGTGTGTGTGTGTGTGTGTGTGATTCCTGGTCCACTATTTAATATGACATCATGTCTTATTTTTGGCACAACACCAACTGCATGTGGACTTCCTCCATTTGTTTGCAGGTGCAGTGTGTTTAGATGGAAGCTGTATGTGGTATTAAGTTGTTTACAGTTTTTTCTACAGTTTTTTTATTCTCATTGTCTTTTGGTTTTACATTGTTGGCCACAAATAAGTTATTTTAGGATGTCACATTGGGCTGTGGATATGGGCATGTTTCTCTATTTTCTGACATTTTATAGGCAGAATGATTCCTCTATTGATCATTAAAAAAGATTGAGAGATAACTTATAACAAAAATCACCGGGGACACAATCATATACTGATACAGCTACCTTTATTCAGAGTGTTTACCGATGCTGAGTACTGATGCGATACTGGTGCTCTCTTTTCCAAAAATTGTATAAACTATATCTCACATTGCTTGGAACACATTGCAATCATTTTGAGATAAGGTAATGTGAGGCTGTTGCTCTAAAAACTGACTCTGCAGCTGGTTGTCACAGAATGAATCTAACTGACACCTGTAACACTGAATCATATCATTACATTGACACAGAAACTGTATTTAAAGTCACAATTCTTAAGATTTCTGATTTGGCGACAGTATCAAATGGTAGTTTTAATAATAGTGCAATAATATAATGTGTATCGGTTATGAAGTGGCTGATATCCAATACACAAAGTAATGTCATTATGGGTGCCAGTACAGATTGGATCGGTGTATTTCTAAAAATAATCATTAGTTGCCACCCTTCTCCTACATTGCTTTATATTGCACAGAATAACTTCTGTATGTAGCAGTCACTAGTGGGAATAGGTGTCTGTATGTAGTCTCACTTTGTGTATTCAGGTTGCACTATTCATATCAAATAAAACATTAAAGTTTATTTATTTTATTTGGATTCAGGTGAATGAGTTTTGTTTGGATTTGAACTCATCATGAACCCAATTTTGACTGAATACAGCATTTACTATCTGATCGACTGCGCTGAGTGCATTTTAGTTTGGTCATTTAGGTGCAGCAAAGATTTATGATGTCAGTACAATTCAGCTGAAAATGGACTGAAGCAGAGACTAAGGCTGCGCTCTGTCTCTCTGAGTTAACATCATTCAGAACAGGTTGCTGTTTCTCAAAGGCAAAATGATGTCTCACTAATGTATGTGGTTTCCTTTGTGTGGGCTTTTTATCAGAGCTAAGCTGGCCAGTGTTTGCTGTCAACTATTTAACTTCTGACCTTCTGCCTTGCTGCAGCCCCTCGTTTATGTCTCATATCCTAAGCTGTTGGTTAATAAAATCATGAAATCCCTTGATAGGAGCAGCAGGTATTAAAACAACGAGAAAAGTCATAGAGAGGAGGACAGAGAAGAGGAGGGATGAAGGGAAGAGGAGAGAGAAAGCAGTGGGAGAGAGAATGGGTGGTTGAAGAGAAGAGGAGGATGAGTAAACAGGAGTGGAGAGAGAGGATTTCCTGTCAAAACTAAGATGACATGAGGGATGGAGTAAAATGGTGGGAGGCAGGGATGGGTGGGGAAATGGACAGATAAAAGAGAAGATATTTACGTCAACACACAAAGCACATTAATGTGTCTTCACGACTGTGTTCATCTTTATTCTGTTTCTCTTGTCAAGCCTGCTTCCTTCTGTATTTGTTGTTTTATGTTACATGCACACATTAAGTCCATCTTAAAGCTCTGAAACACAATGTGTGTTTACACACACATGCCCACACACACACACACACACACACACACACACACACCATTGTGTGTAACACGGGGCTACTCAACACGGGGCTACTCAAGATCTAATGGGCTAGAATGAATTGCCTTAACAATGGCCATAAATTTCACTCCATAAATCTTTGTGGTGTTAGTGTGCAGACAGTTATCATGAGTGCAAAGAGTCCTGTCATACACACACATGCACACATACAGTACACAAAGGGAAAGGAGGGGGTTGCTAGAGTTTTACAGGGTAAGTGGGAAAATAAAAGCCCAGTGGGGAGGGGTGTGTGGTGAAAAGGGGTTAGATGTGGCAAAACAGAGAGTGTAAAAAAAGATTTCTGCAGTGGTGGTGGTGGTGGGCAGGCGGGAGGTTAGTGTGCGGTGTAAATATAGTGAACATAGGAGAACTAGGGTTTGAAAGAAAGAGAGTTGGTGCCAGGAACCAAAGATATTGTAGCATGTGTCATGTGTGAATGTCGGTGCAGAGCTGCAGAAGGACCATATTATGTGCGGTCTGGTGACCCAATTATTGTGTAGACGCTGTGTGTGTGTGTGTGTGTGTGTGTGTGTGTGTGTGTGTGTGTGTGTGTGTGTGTGTGTGTGTGAGAATCATTCCTGGTAGTCCTGTGCTTGCTGGAGGCCCAAGGGTGACACCAAAGCAAAGAACCAAGAGCTCAGTGCCGCCTGTTGCTGGTTAACAGAAGAACTGCACTTGATAAATTACTCGTCTTGGTGCAGTTTTGCCGTGTGTGTGTGTGTGACTGTGAGCAAAAGAGAAAAAAAAGACATGGTTCGCCCATATTGATGAATTTGATGCCATCCGATGGTTGAATTAGTCATTGTGTTAACACTTGGCACTTCCTGTTTTCTGCCTCCCAGCGCTGGCATCGCTGTAGGATTCTACGGAAATGGAGAGTCGAGTGATGGAGCCAGTCGTTTGGCGTACTCCCTCCGTCATGCCAACCGCACCGTATCTGGGGTGGAGAAACTGGTCAGTAATACGTACTGTGTTGTTTGACTTTAAAAGATTACCTCACAAACCAGTTATAAGATAATAAAAATGTGACTGATGCCAGTTTTTTTCTTTTTGGTTAATGTCTGAGTCCAGGTGTCTGACAGCGCCCTAGCCTTAAACCAGACAGTGGAGGAGAGCTTGGTCCAGTTGGAGACAGCCTTCCAGGAGCAGACAGACTACGTGTCCATCGTCCAAAAGCTGCAGGGCCAGCTGGACGAGCTGGTGAGGCTGATGGTGGATGTCCCCTTCTGGTCCAATACTGATATTTCCTTGGAGGATCTGGCCCGCAAGACGGAGGCCTTTGACTTTTACAGGTCAGTACTAACGAGTATTGGTGTGTGTGTCAGGCATTTCAGCAGTATTTGCTGTATCAAACTGAAAACTGGCCTCACATTCTCTCAGTCATGCAGTTTTTTGATATATTCCTGCATGTTAACCCCATTAAAAACAGCCACGCTGGCATAAGGTTGTCAACGAACCATGGCTTTAATCCTGAGGATTCATTTGCTCAGTGATGAACACCCTCTCCTGCGAGACCATGTATGAGACACTGTGGTGAATTTGTGTATTTACAGGTGGTTGGGGTACCTGGGCCTGCTGCTGTTTGATGTACTCATCTGTCTTCTGGTGCTCTTCGGCCTGATACGCAACTCTAGAGGCACTCTGATTGGGTACGTTACTTCACATCATACCCCAAGAGCTGCTCCTATTGGACGGGTGAAATCCTGTCGAGACTCTTGAGTGTGTGTCAGAGCTGTGTAATACATGGTATGTCAGTAAGCCCAACCTTGACTTTAAAAATATGTATTTGCTTTGTCCTTCAGAGTGTGTCTGCTGGGGGTTCTGACTCTGATAATCAGCTGGGGGTCTCTCGGCCTGGAGCTGGCTGTTGCTGCTGTAAGTGTAACCATGGCAACATCGCCGAGCTCCCTGGCTCTGCAATGATGTAATCTCTACCCACTGCTCGAGCAAGTGTGTTCAAAGGGGATGTTACTGTAGCCTGATGTGTCATGTGTGCTTACCCTCTTACAGTCAGCCAGCGACTTCTGCGTTTCCCCGGATACCTACATCACCAGGGTAACCAAGGAAAACGCTGTCATCAACCAAGGTATGCAGACAAAAACATAGGACCTGTCAACTGGTAGCAGCCATTTTTAAGGTTTTTCTGCTGTAAAGCGGCGGTTCCAACCTGTTTAGACTAGAAAAACAAAGCAGTGTCTACCTGCAAATCGTTGCCACAGCTCAAATATGTGTATTTGTTGTGAGCAGTTCAAGCAAAGGGTCTTTTTCTCTTTTCAGATTGTTTTATTAGAATATTTCTAAAGGCCATAAGATAAGTCAATCCATTATTTCACAAGAAAAAAGCCTGTGTGTATTACTTACTTTTTGAAACCATTCAGATTTATTTTGACCTCTGGGGATGAGGAGAATAAAGTACCTTATAACTTGTGAATAGTATTCTCAGTTGATGAATGGTAAAGTGATGTAGGGAGGGATAGAAGGAGACTGGTCATTGGACTGCTATAGAGATGCTCTAGGTTGACAAATAAGCAGGAACATCCAGAATAGACTCCGGTTTCCACACTGACAGTTGAATCTCACCCTGGCATGTTGCTTCTATTTTAAGAAACAAGTGTGTGTGTTTATGTGTGTGTATGAGTGAGTGTATCCAAGGGGATTGTGTTTGATTGACACTCTGGTATCTAAAAGCTCTTACTCTCTCTCTGCTGACTGCAATGCATCAGCAACCCTGCACACTCCCCGCTCTCTCGTCCTCCTGCTCATCCCAGATGTAAAAAAAAATAAATAAAAATATTCAGAGCACTTTTTTGCTTTTTCACTGTGGATCATTATCTGATTTGTTCTCCCTCGTCATCCTTTTATATCCCTCTTTACTTCTCAATTGCTCCCTTTCTTCCTCTCCCTTCCTCACTTTCCTTTTTGCACTCATCTAATGAGCTCTGTTGTCTGTCAGTTGTTTCCGCTCTGTCTGTCTGCTGTAGAGAACAGATGTTGCCTCCGAAACACACATATAAAGACACAAACACACAATTATGCTTGAGTGTTACTGCTATCATGCTTCCATAGAAGCATACTGCTTGTCTTTTCATTAAACTGTATACTTTAAATATATGTATTATTATATTCCCAGATATCCTGCAGTATTACCTGAGGTGCAGCTCTGGCCAAATTAATCCCTTCCAGCAGGTAACTTCACCATCCTTAGTCGTGTTGAAGTTACTGTTCTTTTTCTGTAGAATACTTTTCTTTTGGTTCCTTTCTTTCAGTTGATTTACCTGCTTCAGCCTGTAAAACGATATAATAACCAAAAGATACTTTTGTTTGTGTGTCTTCTGTGTCACTGTATGTTTTGTAGAGGCTGTCAGGGAGTCACAAAGCATTGGTGGAGATGCAGGATGATGTGGCAGAGCTACTGAGATCAGCAACACGTGATTATGCCAACACCAAGGTACGTGCACTTGTGTGTGCAATGATCTGTAGGTCTTTATTTTCATGCATGAGGGGATTTGCGTTAGTGGGAGCGTGATGAAAGTGGCATTTACACAAGTGTCAGCACACACGTGTTTATCTGGTGTGTGTGTGTTTGTTTGTGTGTGTGTGTGTGTGTGGATGTACATGAAGGCGGATATCTATATTTGAGCGTGAATGTGTAACCTTTGCTCTGTGCGTGCAGGGGAGTCTTGAGCAAATCCAGTCTGTGCTGAATTCCACGGAGGTTGGTCTTCACCAGCTGACTGCTCTGGTCGACTGTCGCAGCCTACACATGGTGAGTCACTTTGTTTGTTGTGTTAGGAGAAGAGAGAAGTCCTCAAATCCCAAGATCTTTCTTAACAACTGACTCTCCTCTCTTCTCCTGTGGTTGTAGGACTATGTTCAGGCATTAACAGGCCTGTGTTATGACGGAGTCGAGGGTCTCATCTACCTGGTTCTCTTCTCCTTTGTCACTGCTCTGATGTTCTCTTCCATTGTGTGCAGTGTGCCACATACCTGGCCTGGCAAGAGGTAACACACACACGCACACACACACACACACACACACACACACACACACACACACACACACACACACACACACACACACACACACACAAACAATCTCTCTCTCACACACACATACACAAGCTACACACAAGCCTTTACAGCCCTAAATTAAACTAGTTAATCTGTACACTAACAGCTAACATGTAACTAGTTCTAACTTCTTAATTGTCTCACTGAATTCAGCTGATGAACTTGAAAACAGGAGAAAGACCCATAAAGAATCTACTCGGTGCCCATGCATGTCATACTTTTAAGTGTATTTGCCTTCTGAGCTGTTGTATCCTTCTATACGTCTTCCTGCTTGTCTTTGCATCCATCAAGTTTTCTCTGCAAGTTTTGTTTGGTATTTTATTGTTTGCCGTTAGCACTGCCAATCTGGCTGATTGTTTGTTTCTCTGTTTGTACATCTCTCTCATTTTCTTTTCTCCACCGTGGACTTGGAGCACCAGTGTTGTGTTAGATTGTGTATCACTACGTTTTTTGTTTTTTTTCTATGCCCCACTTCCTCCTTCTGTTCCTTCCCTTCTCCCTCTCTCCCTGTCCTGATTTGGAAATGCTTTGGGCTTCAGCGAATGATGATGGATATTGAGGAACCTTAACAACCCTTTGATCCAATAAACAGCCCCTTTAAATACCCATTCGATCAACCAAATCATTCTGTGGTAAAATCAGCGCAAAGAGCTCTAGACTATACATCACACTATACGTGACGGTTTTCACTCTGGTGAATGATTTGAATTATGAATCACAGCTGTGCCATAATAGTGTTGTTTTGTGCTTGTTGGTGGGTGTGAATTACCAGCAATGCTAGCGTATGGTCCGGTGGGGTATTAAATAAAAATCCATAATGTCCCTGAATTAAGCAAGAATAACTGCTCACCGGATTGGTTGCTTTTTAGGCTGACTGTGCTGCAACTGCTGAATCTTTCTGATGGGCTGCACAGCTTAACTCCATTTTGGTTGAAAGAGTGAAATGCCTCCATCTGGTGGCCAACCGGGGTAGTAACATCTCCTCTACCTTTTTGTTAACACAGGGCCCTGCTAAAATATTCTTCATACAGCTCCCTCCCTCTTTGAAACATTTCCAGCCTGATGTGACTTTGTTGGTATATAAAAACAATAGTCCTAATGGTAGGGTCCACATATGCACATGTATATGTATTTTGTGATTAATCATACATTGTCACACCCAGTATAATTCTGTAGCCAGAGATCCAACTTCCAAATCAGCACATATCTTATTTGATGCCTCATTCTGTTATGTTGCTGGCCGTTTTACATTCTTGACCATTTTATGTCTGAAAATGGTTTGCCCAAACCAGCCATATTATCTCCTTTTTTCCTGACGTTTTTGCTTTAATTTCCATGTAGCACTGAGAGATGCATGACTTTTTATCAAAGAAAGTGGATTCTTGACATTTGACACTGTTTGGACAATTTGAAATGGACAGTAAAAACCAGGAATCCTCCATGTCAACAGAGGATGACTGCATGAAGAAAATGACTGCATGTTTCTGCGTATTAAGAGAACTTTGAGAATATCGAAGAGTCTTCTACCTTCATACAGTTTAATATTATGTAACCACACACAACAACAACAAAAAAACAGCTCTCCACTTTGAGCTGTGCAGTAATATTAGAGACCCTACTGTACTTGTTGTGGACCTGTTTTGTAGATGAATGCTGCCCGTGTTCCTTTTCTTCTTGTTCAGCTGCTTTGGGGCTGAAGGCATGGTCTTAACCAGTCTTTTGTATCAGGGGGCTCCTCATAGTACAAGAACGCCTTCCCGTCTCCTAACCTCCTCTTCAACCACTTGTTTACACTCTGTTGTCTCTCTCGGATCTCCCTCCCCTCTACCTTTCCCCCCTCCTATCCATCATGCCCTCTCGTGCCCTGCCCTTACCCTGAATTGAAGGACGGATGAGGAAGACGGAGAGGACGAGTCGGGCGCCTCACGGGGCGGTGTGCACGATAACCTGTACCGCGTTCACATGCCCAGTCTCTACAGTTGTGGCTCCAGCTACGGTAGCGAAGCTAGCCTGCCCGCTACAGCCCACACTGTCAGCAATGCCCCCGTCACTGAATACATGTGAGTTAGCACCCACCGCTAGCTAGAGGCTAGCAGGATCAATACACTGCCTGCCATAGGTAGCTGATGCTTGCCCCCCTGTGACCCAGACTAGCAGCACAGCAACGCTCACTGCCTGTAATATGATAAATTAGATTAGCTAGTTATTTGCTATGTACGGCTCGCATGTCCTTTGTGACACACTGTCAGCTATGTTTGACAATTAATGAGTTACAACCTTTCACTAGTTTTCCCTTTGAAGCTGATAGAAAATTAGATGCTTGCTGTATCAGCCAGCCTGCCTGTTTCAGTCCACAGCGTTAGCAAAAACCTGACTTAAAAAAGTTAATTCAGATCTGCACTCGCCGCAGCACAAGTTAATAATTTCACCCTGCTTGCTACGTCTTACAGTTTGACACAGGACTGCAATTGCTTGCTCTGAATACAACAAAAATACAGAAGTGAAATAAGCATCTTTAGTCTGCCACTGCTTGCTTCTGTTTTAGCTGTGCGCTAATCAAGGATAATATGGTGTTTGCTGCAAAGCAAGAAACTGCAACTTTAAAAATAAGAAAGTTAAATACTAAACAGTTCAGTTGTCTGTATTCTGATAGTCATGTATTACTTTGAGTTTTTGGACCATTAAAGGACTATGTCTTTGATGTTTGGGCCATGAACAAATCCTGTATGTTTAAGAATACTGATGACTATATTCCACAGCATATTGCAGGGTTGTAGAGGGATTTATTTCCCTCCGCATTTTTCCTTGTCATGTTTGTGGAACTATAGTCAGCTGTCAGCAGCAAGACTATCAGCTGCCAAAGGACCAGGTTCATATAATCCAAGGAAATCCGTTCAGTAACTTACATAAACATATAATGAATGTGTGTTGACTTGTGTTTGTTTGCGTAAAAATATATTTTTGTAGTTTTGAAAAACTGGAGTATTTAAGGAACTGTTTTATGTGTTAGACCTTTTTATTAACAAGATGAACCATATTTGTTAGGTTTTTTTCAGACATTCATATTATAAGTTCGTTGCACTGTCGTATATAAAATATCAAAGAAAAGAATAAAAGAAGTAGCCCTAATTTAGCTTTATATTAAATTGTGCTTATGAGTCACATTTGAAGCTTAATGAATTCATATTTTATATTTAAAAATCTTCTTCTTGAAACCGTTAATAGTTGAAATGTTGCTCTACAAATTACCAATATATGCTTTTTTAAATTATGTGCCTACAGCCAGTTGCCTATAGGTCTCCACACTGATAAAAGCAGGATTTTACAGAGCGTGTCCCATTGTGAGACTAAATGTTTTTCTTTTGTGCATTGTTAAGAAAGAATGTTAACTATGTTGGACTGTGGCAGAGGTGTTTAACCCCTGGCTATATGGTGCCAGGCTTAAGTCCCTGACTTGTAATTATTACTGAGGCCATTTGTCAGAGGCCATTTGTCAGAGGGTCATTAAGTTGTAATCATGAGCAGACCACAGATCAACAGCTCAACAACTGAGCACCAGCGGCAGGGTGACCACATGCAGTAACCTCTTATTCTATAATGCAGGAGCCAGAACGCAAACTTTCAGAACCCTCGGTGTGAGAACACCCCCCTGATTGGCAGGGAGTCCCCTCCACCCTCTGTAAGTGCACACTTTCTAGATCACACTCTCCCTCCACTATCTTCCAATACCCACAGTGCTGCTGGGAAATTCTCCAAACCGCAGAACCCACAGAGATGGCATTTTGTAATTTCAGAATGTAATGAAGGAAACATGTTGTTGATGAATGTACTTTTATCTTATTCATGACTTAAAGTGCATGCTAGTGTGGATATTGGAAGGTAGTTCCCTATCCCCACACCACTGCAAGTGTCCTCTGTGCTAAAACTAGACAGTGATCATGGATCGCCTTCATGAAGGTCATTTTGGCAGCCTGGGATTACCTGGAAGTTTTAAAAGAAGCCTGTTGATAGTTGGATCTGCACTTGCATCAAAAGAGAAGCTTGACTCTTTTGATAAGTGTAATTGTTGGGTCAGTCTAATACATGGTAGTCACACAGTTGTTCTCTATTTCTGATGTAAAAAGTCTGGTTGGTTTCACTGTGGCCGTCAGTGAAGCGTGAGAGGACTTGCTGATCATGAAACCACTTTTGCCGTGGCGGAGAGAAGCTCAAACAAACACTTTAAGAGTATTTTTAATATTTAGTCCTGTAGTGTATCAAGCTTTTTCTTCAATACAATAAGAAAACATTCTGCAAGGTATACAGGTGTCTGGATTGCACCTTCTTTTATCTACAAACGTGTTGAATATTCTGGCTTTGACAAGATGCTGCTGAGCCTGTAGTTGTGGATGTTGTTCCATGCTCTTATCAACTGTACACATTTGGGGCTACAATACCATGGACTGACTAAATTTAATCAACGAATGTAGAATTATTCATAACTTCTGCACACTTTTTAGGATTCATGTCTCGCTCCACGCCACCTGGTTATAACCTGCAGTGAAGCTGAAGATCTTTTGACAGTTCAGCCCTTGAGTAAACTCGAGCCCAAACCTCTAAAGTTCCTGCTCCCCCTCCCCCCCCTGTTCCCACAGTGTGTCTATGTGTGCATTCTCTGGTCGAGGTGTGTGTGTCCTCTGTTTCTGTGCCCCCTCACCCTTCACCATTTAACAGTCACAGGAGCACATGTTTCCCACCTCCACCGTTGAACCGTAGCAGCCACCCAAATGGCCACGATTCATCATTCTTAGGCAGGGCTGTCGACCGGGCCGCCATCCTGTGCAGAACTGCTCTCCTGTTGTCTGCAGTGCCGTGGAAACCAGAGACCTCCAACTGTAACTAGCTAGCTGCTCACGAGAGACCACTAACTCATACCAGGCTAACCTACTACATCAGAACTAGAGCACTAACTACAAACCACTGACAAAATAAAACCACATCTGCTAATTTACAATAACATCATCCAGACGTAATCAGCTGTTATATAATGAATGACTGTTGTAATCAAACACCCCCGGCTGTCCAAATGACTGGTCAAAGTACTTCTGCTGTACCTGTGTGTTTGTGTTTGCCTCACATGTTGTCACCCCATCTATCTATCTATCTATCTATCTATCTATCTATCTATCTATCTATCTATCTATCTATCTATCTATCTATGTATTGAAACCATTCAAATCTCTTGATCTAATGTACATTATTTAACTGAGACTATTTCTACAGTACTTCTTTTATTCTTCGGCGTAAATAATGGTTAATCATAATCCATCCGTGTTTTTCCTCTTTCTTGTCTTTTTTTGTCCTTTTTTTCTGTCATCCTCTTTCCCTCTTGCTTCTCATTGTTTCCCGCTCTTATCTCAAATTCTCCCTCTGTTTGTGTCCCTTCCCCACATGCTCGTCTCTCTTTCCTCTGTCACTGTCTTCCTATCTCTCCAGTACACCTCCAGTATGAGAGCAAAGTACCTGGCCACCAACCGACCAGACCAGAACCGACGCTCCGTTCCCAACGACCAACTGGACCCGGCTAGCCGGCCTCACCCCGCTGCCCGACCACAATCCTCAGTCCACTAAGATACCAGAGCCGCATCAGTCCACCCCTGTACTGCCTGAATCCAGTTCTCACAGCCAACAGCACCACCCGACACAGCGCTCACCAGAGCTCAAGCAGAGCCGAGCGCTTTAAGCACCAACAGGACCCCAGTTTGTCAAGGTCCACTGAAATTCACTATCACCGGTTCACCAGAAACAACACAGCAGGCCAGAACTCATCAACCAAGCACCTCAGTAAAGGACTGCACTTTGAAGGTCAACCTCTACTCCTCACCCACAATTATCCAAAAGACAGTCAAAGCCCATCCTAAAAGATCACTACTTCTACTACCACATCCCGAGCTGCTCATTTCACCACTGCTGTGATGGACCAGCCCACATACCCACAATGCACAGCAACTAAAGCCTTGGCTCCGGCTCCGCAGGTTCTTCTTCTTCTACTACTCCAAATATCTCCTCCTCCTCCACTGGGATCTGTACACTGCCCTCCAGTGGAGGCAGCCACGCCACTCTCACCACTCAACCCCCCCTGACACGTCTACGTTCAGATCGCACACTCGCACAGAGACAAGCACAGACATGCACAAACACACACACACACACACACACAAACACACACACACACACACTGTACAGAGCTGTAAATAGTGAACATGTGCTTTATTCTGATTTCATGAAAAGTCGACTGTTGAATCATTACTGGTAATGTGGTGTGATGTGTGTTTATCATGGAAATTTTTGCTGTATCTCTCATACAAACACATACACACACAGACACACACACACACACACACTCACATAAACAAACAGGCAGATAGTCTAACTGAACTCTCATCTGTATAAATGATAAGCCAGTGAATCGGAAAGCCATGTTTAGATAGAAACTCTAGCAGCACATCCACATTCTCTCTTTAGCTTAACATTGTCGTCTAACTAAGACTTGAATCGTGAACTCAAAAAGTGGTGTCCACGTCTCTCTCCGTACTTGTTTACGTGCACATACAGTATGCGCGTCAGTTAATGCATCTTTGAGTATGAGCCAGGAATCCGGTTGTGGAATAACTGCTTTGAAGCCTTTGGGGAATGGAGCGAGAGACAAGGGACATAAGAAGGCTCAACCTGTGCCAAAAAACTATACTGTAACAATGAGGGATGCCTGATTCTGTCTTCTTCTACTCCTGCCTCCAGATGTCTCAAAAAGGGGGAAAACACCTTATCTGGAATGTTTTCCCTGCGGCTGTAAATAAAAAGGGAACAGGAAAGACAATGAAAAGACAGATAATTGTGACTACACATTTGCCAGGTGCTACATAAGCCAGTGAAGGTCCCAGAAGACGATCAGCGCTGAGGAGGGACGGAACATGTTTTGTTACTATGATGTTTTGTTTTCATTCAGGGATGTGATCAGGAATATAAAAATCAGTAAAAAAAAAAAAAAAAAAAAAAAAAAAAAAAGAACGGCGTTCCATTATTACTGAATGGAAGTTGTGTCGCAGAACCTGAAAAAAATCACGTCTCTGATAAATAATGTTACATAAGTGTTTCAGAATAAAGGACAGTGGGTGTTTTTTTTATGTTTTATTATAAGCTGACATTCGGGATGTAATACTGTGACCAACTGTAGTATTCTGTTTCTTCTTCTTTACTGTTGTTTCTTTCTTCCTGTGCTTTTATTTTGTTAACTGGTGACATTGGATCGACCTTCATTCACCAGTAGTGAGTCTTTTTTTTTTTTTTTTTTTTTTTTTTTTTTTTTCCTTTCTTACCCACAAGCACAAATTCTCTTCAAGGTGACTTTGCGAGATGGAGAAGTAAAACACACTGCCTGGAACACTGCCAGTGGTTTTTCCTCCCGCTCTAAAACTCTGTGTACAGTGTATAAAAACTGTAGTCGTGAACCTGTGTGTGTGACATCACTGCAGTGTGATTGGCTATTGCTCTATCTCAGTGTTACTGTGTGTAAGTACGGTGATCAGTGTGTCTGACTGGCTGCAAGCAAGGGCCAGCCTATCTAGCATTTCTACACAAACTTTGCACATGCCTTCATACACACACACACACACCCACATGTTAACACACACACACACACACACACACACACGCTGTACAGACACATACACGCTCAATACACACTGCAGTATCATATAAAATCCATCTACTTTCCCTACTTTTGTCCTGTTTACATTCACATCTAGAGCTGTAGTAGCTGCACGCCCTCCCACAGCTGTGACATCACACTGATAACCATTTGCATTATGGGTGATGTAGTAGGTAGTAGCTGCATTTCAGAGAAGCCTGGAATCTCATAGTTAGTTGAGTGAGCAGAGCCCTAACATTCAAACACCTTTCAACCACCATCCCTGTACAGCATTTTAATATTTTATTATTAATCAATGACCACTTCTCGTATTAGCGAGACAATCTTACATGTGTGATTTTACTAGAAAGAAAATGTCCATGTTATGGTAACAATGCTACCTATGGTCTAGTACTTTACAGTGTTTTTTTTGCACCATTGATGCAAACAACGTTAAGATCTGTGGGACTAGTCACTGATTAATGGCCTTTCATAATGTTTTTAAACTCTTACAACACTCTTCATATCACAACATGTTTTTTTTATTTTTCTCTGTCTTGTAAAAATCAAAGTTTAAAGATAAAACAATAGCTAGCTGTTTTGTAGGAGAATAAAGGCAAGAGCAGCGTTTTTCCTCTCTTATTAATGGTGAATGACTCTCTGTCTTGCAATGTTTTAATAAAACTATTCCAGTGTAGTCTGCACACCTGACTGAAAGTTGTATTTGAATTCCTGTGCTCTGCTTTGTGGGATTTACCCGACCTGGTACGGTATGACCTGAAGGAGAAAAAAAAAAAGCCCTGCTCACGTTCAAAATTCAGCAACGTGTGTGTGTATGTGTGTTATTTACTGGACTTCAAATACACCTCTGTCCAGATGTGACAGACAAGCAATGTTTTCTATGGCTGTTTTTATTTTCTGATGGTTTAACTAAGATATTAATGATGTACATGTCAAAACTGTGGTAATGATATCATTCAGCCTGGAATAAATGTTTTAAAAAAAAGAAATTAAAGCAACTTTAACGTACTGATCAAGACTGTGGATTCTTTCTTATTGCTTCGATTGAGCAGATGGGAAGCACAAACTGTCTCTACTCAGAAACTGTTTCCTCAGTCTGAAAACTAGAACATAAACCCTGAAATATCTTCGGTGAAGGTGAGACGTTTATGGAGCGTAAGTTTCACGGCCACTTCATTTTGTGCCCTTGTTATAACCCACATTACAGACTCAACTTCCATCCATTTGGATTATTGATGTGATCATCATTTCAAACTGCCACTTCTTCCCTAATGTCAATAACCATTTTATCAAGAGAAAAATAAAAACAAGTGATGATTGATGGTGAAAAAATGGGAAAAATACAAACATAAATCTTGACTATATGATGAGTGCTTTTAATGTAATATTTTAAACTTGTTACGACCTGTTCCATGTGTTTTACAGCAGCTATTGGATGTAAAGTTTCTTTAGAAGAGGGAAACAAAATCATATGTATTCATTTCACCTTGAGTTAAACAGCTTTAGCAGTAAACACAGTCACGGTAATCAGTCAAATACAGTATGCTTTACATCTGTACTTCTAATCCTCCTGCAATAAAGTTGTCAGTCTCAAAAGTAATATATGGAACCCATTCAAATTCATTTCCTGGCTTGTGGAAAGGTACTGCAGTATGATTAAGAAACATTGTACATTCCTGAATCAGCTGTTTGTGTATTTACCTTTTCTATATTCAAATGACAGCATGTACTAGTGCAAGTACATTATTCAAGAAACAAGATCTCTTGTACATCCATACCTTTATAATCTGTGAGGGGTGTGTGTGCAGCAGTACAGTGCAGTCAAAAGTAAGTCTCTCTGTGATGCAAGTTACTGCCCATTGTGCTCATTTTCACATTTTCCCTGACAGTAATCACACAGACAAGGTGTAAATTCTCAAATAATAAACCATTCTTTCCTGCTTTAAACCATAGAAATTGAAAAATATGCATCCACCATATCCACAAGTACAAACAGAAAAACAATTAAGACATACAATGCTTGCTTACAGTCTTATATTTATCGTTGGAATAAACTTTTAATTTTCCCCCTGGCAATTTTAATTTTTTTTATTCTTTTACTTTTATTTTATTTTACTTAATTTTATTTTTCTCATATATTGTTTTTCTTTTAAGTTTTTGTTAAACTGTATATTTGTTTGTATATCTGCTTGCTCTGATGAGCTGTTTACAATGTCCATGTACACTGTTCAGTATATTTTCAATAAAAAAAGGAACAAATCAAAAAAAAAAAAAGACACAGAGTCAAGGTTCAGGACACCAAACCTGTCACCTAAACATTCAACCTACAGTTTGTACAAACGTGTCGGTGGATGTGTGTGCTGAGTTCAAACCATAGACTGTTTATAAAAATCGACGTAGTCTCCGGGGCTGCAAAGTGAAGCCAATGCGGAAGTGCCTTAATGTGCAATACCACCGAAGGCCGCTGGGAGCTGACTCCAAAAAACTCTGGTTACACTCATTCAAAAAACACCAACTTCTCTCATGAAATCCCAGAACTCATTACGGTGTGATGGACTAAATATACACCTCTCGTTCAGTGTCCTGGTGGTCCATCCGAAAATAATCATCTAATTATTTAGATATTAGGCCTTGAACAGGTATTTTTGGGGGCGTGCCTGTTTGATTGACATGCCTGGTCTGCAATGATTGATGAGCTGACGAGGCAGGCCTGCAGGTTGTTCACCGGGGGAGGGGTCACCGGAGGAGGGTTTGGGACGTGTGCGCATCATATTGAATCAGTTGTGTTGAATTTTTATAATTTTTCTCAAATTTTGTCGGTGGAGGAGGAGTTTTGCACTGACAGTTTTGCTGATAGTTGTTTAGTTTGAATGAATTTTCGGTTCACAGTAATTATGGCTCATTCTTCGGCACTAACAAACTGGAGAGATGCTGATATACAGTTTTTTTTTAGGTAAGTAAATGTTTATTTCTCGTCCTACAGTTTTAATGTGTATGATGCTCCCTAACAGCTAGTGTGTTTTCTCTACGTATTTTGACCGGAGAACGGGAGATAGTTCACATCCACATTAATATTAGAGTTAATGTGACTTTCGGGTGCACTTTGCTAACCTAGCTAGCTAGCGAGCTAGCTAACGGATAACTTAGTGTTTGCTAAGCTAACCGTACCTTGTCCCAAACATCCAAACATTTGCAGGACAAGGATAAATATAGTTTAACAATTAACTCACTCTCATGTTATTAGAAAAAATCAGTTGCTGATAGAATTTTCCTACATCCAGAAAAACATTCAGGTTTATCTCATTAACTTATTTTCTGTCTCCTGATCTCGCTTGTATAGTATTGTATTGAGTACAATACACAATGTATACTAGAACATTATCTTGTAGGGGTTTGTCATTTAATACTGTAAATTCATACACAACAGTACTGAACTGAAGCAGATATTCATGCACCTGTCCTGACAGCTGGTATAAGTGTGTGATTAGCTGCGATCCACCATGTCTGAACATAAGTGTTTGTCTTTTACTGTCATTCAAAGGAATCCACACTGAAAACTGAATGACTGGTGCCAACAGAAGGAGGACCTCATGTACGGACAAAGGAGACTGCACAGACGTCCTTAGTTCTCAAATGGGCTGTGATGATGATGATGATGCCAGAAAACCACTTCCAGTTGAGCTTCCTCCGATGGGAGGACAGGCTACTACTTACCACTCAGTATCAAAACAAAAACTGGAAGAAAAGTAAAGTGAGTTGTCTGGTGTGTCCTTTAAAAGTAACCAAGCCTTTTTCAAGTTTGAGCAGGAGCTGAACAAAAATCTGGCATAACTTTACAGTGTAAAATTTCAAACTGTCACCAGAGCTTTCTAGATGTCATTTCCAATCAAACCTGCACACACTGAAACCGAGCTTAACCTTCAGTCCAATAATTACTCGGTGAAATCAGGATCAAGCCTGTGCAGAGAGTCAACTGACACCGTGCCGCCTACTGTTACTCTGCAGATTGTGAGTTGCTCTCCTTATGCACCATGAGTCAGTCTGCAAAGCTTTTCACAGAGGTGATCATGCCTGTCGTGCTATTTCTAGCGGTGCTAACCTACTTCTGAAAGGCAGAAACAACATTAGGGAAAAGAAGGCAGGTGGTAAACTTTGTTTGATTTACTGTAAATCGACCACTGAGAACAGATAAAGAAGACATGTGGAAATATGGAAGTTGAAGCTCATGTATTGTAGAGAAGGGGGATGCTGGATAGCACAACGCACATGCCACCTCAATTTTTGGTTTGATTTATTGACAATAATCTAGAGATAAAGATATTTATTAAACACAAAACATCAAACTTCATTAAGGATGGAATGATAAATTCCTGGGCTTATTTCCATTGTTGCCCCTGTTGTTTCCTCTGTACTTTAACAATATGTCTGACCAGTGGAAAATTTTGAAATACCTTCTTTTTTTTTTTTTTTTGAACGATTATAATCACATTTTGAGACGGTTGAATATAGAAACCAAACAGGTGCTTCAGGACGAGCAAGCAGCAGAGAACCACATCTACTTAACAAAACTCACATTTTAGTCTTCGCTTGCTGCAGTAACACATGCAGCCAGCAGGTGTCACTGTCCACCCAGCAGCATGTAAAACATCAGAACAATTTTCTCAAATTCACTGCTGTGTGTTCAAGCGTTTGCCGGAGTGCTCCCTAAGGTCCTCTCAGTCCAGCTTCTCTTGAGTATCCACTGGGAAAGAGGCCATAACGCACGCACACACAGTGGCATGCAGTCCGCTAATCTTTTGGTTCTGACTTTATCTCTGCAGGGCCTTGTGTATGGCTCAATCAGATAAGGGGCCTACTGTTGTTTCAGTGTGTTTGTGAGTGGGTGGGTTTGTTGGTGGACTTCTGGGTGCAGAGGGAGAGGGAGGGTGTGGGGGGTGGGGTCTCCAGACAGGAACCCAACAACTCATAAACAAGGTCAGAGTTGAAAGGTCGATGCTGTGTCCTTTATAACCCCATTTAAAATCCCCCAAAGTATTCCAGTATACAGTCTCACACAAAAAGAAAAACATTGACCAAAAACTGTTTTTATTAACTTCAGCCATAATGTCTACAGACAGTCCAGATACTGGAGAGAGCACGTACGCTTCGGAAGCAACGGTTCATCATATACATTCACTTAACAAGGGACAGAATTTTAACTTAATAACTTTCATTCAGTTACAAGAACTGCTTTCAATGCACAGAAAGATAGAAGACGACCCAACATGAGTCATTTCTCAATAAAACCTCAAAGGGGATAATATCTTTGTTACACTGCTATAACGTTTCAAAAGCAGTCTCACATCATCTACAACCATAATCCACCCATTTAAACGGATAAAGACGGGTGATATATACTGTGTTTTGAAGAATGTTTTGTAAGAGAGGCCTCACTAGTTCATAAAGAGTTGTTAAAGGAATGGTTTGACGTTTTATTGGCTTTCCTGCGGAGAGTTATATGAGAACATTGATACCACCCTCATGTCTGTACAGTAAATATGAAGCTACCACCAGCAGCCGCTTAGCTTAGCTCATCACAAAGATTGGAAACGGGAGAAAACTGCTAGCCTTGCTCTGTCCAAAGAAAAAAAATAATCTCACTAATTAACATAACATAACATAACAATAACAACATCTTTTTTGTTTAATCTGTAAAAAAGTGTAAAAAGCATGTATTTATAGTTTTACAGGGAGTTGTTTTGGACAGAGCGGGCTAGCTTCATATTTAGCGCACAGATGTGAGAGATATCGATTTTTTTTGTCTAACTCTGCAAGAAAGCAAATTCGTCAAAATGTCAAACTATTCCTTTGATTTTCTTTTATCAAACGATGACTCGCAAACAGCAGAAATTAAACAGCAAAGTGCTCAGTCATACTGTCATGATAACATACTTCAGAGAGAGGGTAATACTGAACTCTGATCAAATTACACTTCAGATAAGGAGTCTGGATTCTATGAGATCATCAAAATGTGTTTTTTTTCTTTTTGGCTTCATTATGATGAATGATTGATCCTGCGCTGTGTTTCTGTCTTTGATTGCTTCGCTTCATCCACCAACCGCAACAGTCACATTCACTGAATCCAAACCGGTCAACACTGGAGCATGAGGAGGTGCAGGGTGGGCAGCTAGGTTACACATTCACATAGTTTCAAAAGAATGATCTTTCACAGCCGAGGAAGTGGAGAGGGGACACTGTAAAATGTTTGAGGGTGTGAGGAACAACAGGTCTTTTAGTGGGATTGCCGACGTTCGAACCAGTCGTCTTATCGCTGTCTGTCTGTTTGCGGGTCCAGCACTTACTGGATGGATTACCACTGAAATTGGTAGAAATGTTTCTGGTCTCAAGAGGATGATTTGGTCACTGTGGTTATATCCCCTGACTTTTCCTCTAGTACAGCAACGTGATCGAATGTACCACTTATTCAACACTTTAGGTAAAGAATGATTTCAGTTCATCACAACAGTCTCATTTCAGCTGTTCTGTGCATCATTTCTATCAGTAACTATTCTCTTGGGGCTAGAAACATGAGCGGTGAGATGATCATACAGGTTTTACACAAATAGCAAGGTTAAGCAAACTTACTTGAAGGAGAAAACAGAGAAGAACTTCAAGCTCTTGATCCAACTTCTCTGCTTAAGAAAGTCGCTTGCACACATCTTTCCTGGTCAAGATTATTACGACATTTCACATGTGCTCACTTTCAGTTCTACCTCCAAATCAGATTTAGATAATCTGATTTTTTTTCTTCTTTTTAACTCAACATTTTGAGAAGTAGGCCTTTTCAAATTCTTGCCAAGGCTTAGATGAGGAGACTGATAAACACCTCATGCCTGTACTGTAAACATGAAGCTGGAGCCAGCAGCTGATTAGCTGACAAAGACTGGGAACAGGGGGAAACTGCTAACCTGGCTCTGTCCACAAGTAACAGCACTGCCTGGTAGCTAAACCTCACTAGCTTAACATGTTATCCTACTTGTTAAGTCCCTGTTAAAAAAAAGGGTTTGTGCTCATGTTTCTTGTCCCGTCTGACTTTGTTGTAGCTGTGGTGGCCAAAAATTAAAAAAAAAAACAAAAAAAAAAACAAGCTGCAATAGGACCAGAGTTACCCTCTATGCCTTAATATCATATGCTAACATTAGCATTAAGCTGGATGCACAATTGAGCCAGAGCACATCTGAAGCTAACAAACAGGAGCTGAAACTGAGAGGACAACTGAAGCTGAATGTCAGGATTAGACAGAAGAAAGATGAGACAGGTGTGACAGGCTAAACTCTGTGTTTGCAGCTGAGATGTTCATTGTTACACATGGCTTTTCCTCTCACACCACCATCAGGCCAAACTTTACATGTTCTTTCTTCAGGATCTAAGAATAACAAAGTAGTTTCTCCATTTCTCATCCATTCATGGATTTTGACTTTTCGTAGTCTTCTCTTGTAGCAGTTTTTGGCCTTTTGACACCATTTAACGGTTCACAGGGTCAGAGTTCAGGTGTCAAACTAATGCAGTGGTACTTGTTCCTAAAAAGTCAGTCTGCCGCTCAGACAGCTGTGGGAGTGTTTTGGAGATTCTCCAGGAGTCAAGAGGAGGGCAGCTTGTTCACTTTATATTTTTTTTTCTTTCAGACATTTACTCTTTCTCCTCGTCAGTCCATCCCTCCCTCTTTGTCTCGAGAAGGCTGTTAAAGTCGCTGGGGGCTGGGGCACCAAGGAGTGTCTGGGTACAACAGACAATGGACAGACCTGAACCTGAGAGAGAGAGGGAAATGAGTGTCACAATGCCTGGAAGCCGCCAACTGGGGATTTCAAAATAAAACAGTGAATACAATTAGACACACACACACACACACACACACACACACACACACACACACACACACACACACACACACACACACACACACACACACAATGAACAAAGCCAGGAAACTTGTCATAGTAGTAAAACATACAAATCCGAAGCGCTTACATAAAGAGGAATTGTAGTACACGACTAAAGACTAACACTTTTCCTGAAACAGACTGAGCAGCTGTAGCAATGTGTTAAATATATATATATATATATATACACACAATATACTGTATGTACTGAGTGTTTCTTTTCCATGAACCCATCCACAAGTAGGTCAGCAAACTTATTTCATTATCTGCAGCCCTCCCTCCCACCCTGTAGGCACACTGCCATCAGTGTCTGTTTACGTTATACAATAATGACAATTAGCCCAATTCAGTACACAATGATACAATTACTGACCAGAGGATGAAGAAGAGAAGGGGGACAAAGAAAGAAAAATCCCCTTAATGTCAGGAAGAGCTACGATAAGATCACTTTGTGTTTTATCCCTTGTGTTGTTTTGTTGGCCTGTAATGTCGGCGTGAATGCTGTTCCTCTCAGTGAAGTTTTATAGCCTCTGTACTGTAAATATTCACAGTGAAGGCGACCTTTTGTGTTACACTGAGCTTCACAGACTGCTTCTTTCGGAAAGACCCCAGGCCTGCGGGTCTGCATTCACAGGCTACATCAAACTTTCACCTTTTATTTTTCATTAGCATGTAACATTTGATCCAAAGAGTCAAAATAAAAGTGGCACACAAGAGAGGAGAATAAAGATAAAGTCCCCAAATGGGGTTTTAGCTTTCCTAATTAAACGGAAACACAATCTAGTCTCTAACAAAAATCACCAATAGAGAATAAGAATATCATAATCAATCCAAAGCTGTCAAACAAACTGTTAAAAAAAACTGCTGAGTCTCGAAGAGGAACTGATTTTACACATCAAGTCTGTACACAGGTCTTACCACTAAATATGTAAAATGTTCTATTAAGCCTTTTGAGGCTCCAGAGGGGGCTTCACTGGGTCTGATAAATTGCCTCAAGTAATGGCAGTCAGTGGTGGTCAAATTGCATTGTGGGTAATGTTTTGGAAGGAATAAGAATGGTTGGAGTAAAAAAGAAAGATGACATCTCTGGTGCTGCCGTATCGAGTTTGATGACTTTTTAAACTTCGCATCTTTAGATCAAGATAAAAATTGGTTCTGTACTATTTTAATATAATAATTATAGTCCATTAACCACAGAGGAAAATAAACAAGGACTCCAGATACTCCTCAGAGTCAGTGATGTATTTTGTGTGTGTGTGTGTGTGTGTGTGTGTGTGTGTGTGTGTGTGTGTGTGTGTGTGTGTGTGTGTGTGTGTGCGTCCGTCACAGTAGCTTTGGTTAAGCCCATTTCCCTTCTGCGGATATTCAACATTCTTTGTATTATGTTCCTTACTACATAATAAAGCAACAAAATGGCCTGACTCTACACATCGTCATGCAGTGTCAACACACTCTTATTTTACCTTGTAGGATCTTCATTCACTGAGAATGGGCCATTCACGTTGACAGTGTTTCTGCTGTTTTCCACAGTGCCGTAGCTGAGAGTCACCTGACAGGAAAAAATAAACAAGTGCAATGTTGCTTAGAAGATTTTTAATATCTGTAGTGGCAGAGAGATAATTGCTGTGGTGTTATGTCTGTATATCAATGTGTGTGTGTGTGTGTGTGTGTGTGTGTACCTGGTTGTGTATGTCAGACACCAGCCCCAGGTTCTCCAGGTGGGAGTGGAACAAAGCCGAGCGGATGAGGCTCACACCGAGCAGCGCCTCCACGATGTAACCGACGGTGCAGTCGTCGGGGAGGCGAATGTGCTCAGCTGTCACCATGAAAGTGCCATCGCTGGCCAGAGGGAGGAGCAGAGAGCGTGAGGGAGGTGAGATTTGATTATATACTGTAGAAAGAAGTAAAACATAATTCATCTAAATGAGAGTTTACCTCGCCCAGGGTTTCATCTTGAGAGCGAGGCCGCGGCTCAGACAGAAGCCTGCTCCTCCTGTGGCGAACCAGAAACGCACCTGCTTCTGCAAAACAAAGGCGCACGTACACCCACGTAAATAAAAGTGTATGTTGTGCATCAGCCTTGGCACCAGTGCTCTCAGTCAGTTTAGAGTCAATATAGATCTGTGGGTATCTGAGGTCAGGAGGAAACCACAGCTGATGTTTCTTTGATCACTTCTTAGGTTTCAAGACATGTAGCATGTTTCAGTTATGGAACAAGGGCAGAGGCTGAGAACCCCGATCGGCAGATTTAGATCTTAAGCAGTCTGGGTAGTTGCGAGGATAATCATATGGAGTTACCATTTCAGCGGTGCCGAGCTTCTCCGTAGCCTCTATCGGTCGTTCGAGGCTGGGCCGGCCGAGGTAAACGTCCTGGGCGTGACTGTACTGAGACAAGAGCTTCAGGAGGGAGTCGACGTTCACGTAGTTATCGTCATCGACGTGACAGAACCACCTGCGACACACGATGCGTAGCGTTAGTAAAATGCTCTCTGAGTATGTTGAAGGCAGTGTACGTGGGTTACTGTTTGTGTGGACTGTGTCTTACTTCTTGCCAGAGTTAATAAAAGCGTCGTACTCCAGAGCCATTTTACAGGAGAGGGCCTGACGATTGTGGGCCGCTGAACAGTTGGTGTTGATCAGGTGAGCTCCTGGTGATCAATAACAGACAGAAATGACCAGTCATGACACAGTAATTGTATGAAAAGAAAGAGAAAATGATTTGTTCAGAAGCAAGGAAGCTGTTTGGATTCCTTTATAACACGACTGCATGAAAACAAATAATCAGGAAACAATAAATTTCATAGTTGCACATTTTTCCGCACTGACTCGTACAATGTGTCTGATAGTGAAAAGAATACCTCATTGAAAGTAAAACAATTCCATGAGTAAGATGAGGAAAGGCTTGTTGATTAAACTGAAGTGACTTCCTGCACTTCATGGAAACATAATATTGCACAGTCAGCAGCCTGGTTCCTGCTTTCCTGCCTCTCGCACTGCAGATAACACTGCTGCTACTCAGCGAAACTGCTCGGCGTGTGTGTGTGTGTGTGTGTGTGTGTGTGTGTGTGTGTGTGTGTGTGTGTGTGTGTGTGTGTGTGTGTGTGTGTGTGTGTGTGTGTGTGCGCACTCACCCATCCTTTTCCTCAGGTCCTTGTCCTCTCCATCAGTGAACACGTACGTCTGTGGAAAAAAAGAAACAAAACCTTCATGTTATTCCAGGCACTTTTCACTGACCAGCAGGGAAACAAAAACACCATCACACAGACGCTCCTGCTGCTCCACCATCATTGTTCATGGGTGTTTGTTTATAATCTCAGGTGAGGCTCCACCTGCTTCCTCGGTGATACACGGCACATGGCGGCAACAAGCACTGCTGATCCTGGATGAAGGCCAGAACAAAAGGTAAGCCCCCAGTCTATCAGCAACAGAGCAGCTGGTCATAACCCTGTAGGTGTGTGTGTGTGTGTGTGTGTGTTTGTGTGATAAGTGACGGGGTTGAGGGTCACTGCGCGCTCAGGAAGCTGCGTAGACCCCATAACTTTCCACAGGAAGTAAACACACACCCTGGGTGCACATACGGAGCAGTCTGTAAATAGTCTGTTGTTTCGGCTCTGAACTCCAGGACAATAGATTTGAAACGAGACAATGACAGACAGGTTAAAGTGCTGACTTTCAGCTTTAACGTGAGGCTGTTTACATCTATACTGAGTGAGCAGTGTAGGGCTTGTAGTCTTTTTTTTTCTTACACACAGTCCCCCAATTTTAGCTTAATGCAGCAGGACAATGATCCTCACCTGACGGCGTATCCAAAGAGATTCTGTGGCCGAACAGTGACACAAAGTACGGCTAGGGCATGATGGGAATTTCATTAGTTTTGCTCGTACTTAGTCATAAACCAAATTTGGGACAAGCTGTGACCTGATGATTGCGCTGGATGAAAATTTAATCACCAAAGTTGTTACAATTCTTCCTGAGGGGGGCATGAAGGTTTGCAATAGATTTCATGTAAAGCGGCCCGAAAACTGTAAAGAGATGTCAGTGTAGACCACGTCACCATCATGGCTGAAAACACCCTGGACTTCTTGCTTGACACTGGGCTAAATTTGGCTGAAAAGTGAAGGGTTTTTTAGACATCTAGTTTATGTGGATTTGTTGTTTCCACAGAATTTCTATCACTATATTTAAATATTTAGTTCAGTCCTGCTTCTCAATGAAATATAGTTGTTTAAGTGCTGTTAAAACAATGGCTTCATTTGAGTCCACGCCTTTCACTTTCAGTCGCAGACGCAGCAACGTTCGACTTTTTCGACGATATGCTGCTGCGGTCCAGGTCTGGCAGAGCATCATCAGGGACGGTCCGCTGATGTTTGTGTCTTGTAGCCTTCAGACATTAACTGAGTGTAAAAGACTCAACAGCAAGTAATAAAAATAATGACTTAATTCTAAGTTTGTGTTAACTTGTCTTTTCACTTTCTGTCCCCCTAAAACATCCATACATCCTGCACTGTTCATCTGATGTGGTCGTAAGCGCACTGAAGTTACAGCAAAAAGTCAGCACTTTGAAGTCAAAGTCTTTGTTTCATTTCAAATCCAAATGTTGTGGTGCAGAAAGATCAGAGCAAAAAAAAAAAAAAAGCTCTGATACTCTCTGACTTCACTGCATGCACTGCTCCAGTCAAAAGACAAGGCTCAGAGGGTTTCCACTTTGCAACTCACTTGCCATGCAGCACAAATTCAATAATAAATCTTTGGTCCAAGTACTGTGTGATCACATCGCTGCCTGTGGTAGAGAGAGAGAGAGAGAGAGAGAGACTGGAAAACACAGGGGGAGAGTCCAGCCAGCTGTGAGTTTTTGTCAGTCGTCTTTTTTTTCCCACTCTGAGCCTCTTAAGCCTCTTGAGAGCAGTCAGCTTCTGCAGCGCATGAATGTTTGAGTGTGTGTGTCTGTGACACCAGTGTATGCTAAGCTGGGAGCTGGGAGGGCAGTGGGGGGAAGGACAGGGAGGGAAAATGTGGTTTTGAGAGGTGGTGGGGTGGGGGGGTGGGTCGCCAGTTTGAACTTTACAACACAGAAACAGCAGCAACAACAACCACCACCGAGCAGAAGAAAGTGATGTGGGGTGTGTGTGTGTGTGTGTGTGTGTGTGTGTGTGTGTGTGTGTGTGTGTGTGTGTGTGTGTGTGTGAGAGAGCGCGCGCGCATGTTTACTCTTGTGATCAGACACATTTTTAACTTCCCATGAGAAATCTGGTGAGTTCCCAGGGCATCTGTGTGTGTGTGAAGGTAACACTGTGAGAATGTGTGTGTGTTGCTGTATTTCCATTACTCAGCAGTCTTACAGTATAGAGGTGTGTCTGGGAAACAGGTAGAATTACACACACCTGACCGTGAGAGCAGATGCAGGAATGCGTCACACACACACACACACACACACACACACACACCAGCTGATTTCCCCTACATTTAAGCTGTATTTACATGGCAACAGTCTGGGTGCAGCATGAGATGAGACTTGAATGAGTCCTTCCTCAAACACTGAGGTTTAAATGGAAATCAGAACGACCGCCGAGCGATCCACAGTCACGTCTGCATTCGATTAGGAGCTTTGAAGACGCTGGGTGCAGTTTACCACAGTCCCATGTGTTTTATAGCAACAAATTCATCTTTGACTCACCCACCACTGTGATTCAGACCAAAAAGCTGTCTCTCCATCTGCTTTGATCTCAAATATTTATCTGTGAGGCTGTACGACCGAAACTCTCCCTGCACCAACATCTCCCTTTTCATCTCCAGTAGTCATGTTAAATCTCAGGACTCCACCTGGAAACGATGGTTTCCAACATGATCAGCGGTGGAAGAAGAATTCAGGTTTAGAGTTGCAATGATTACTCAGTTAATTGAAAATGAACCAGCAACAATTTAGATAATCTAGTAGGGAATTTTTCAAGCAAAAAATTCACTGTTTCCAGCTTCAGAAACATGAACATTTTCTGTTTTCTCACTCTTCTCTGATGGCACACTGAGTATCTTTGGGGTTTGGGCTGTTGGCTGGATGAAAAAGGATATTTGAAGACATCACCTCAGGCTCTAAAACTGAAATATGAGCAAAAATGATCATCTGCAAAGTAGCTACCATCGTCAAATAAATCTGGTGGGGGGGATAAAAGATTTCATGTAGTGGAGAAGAAGCAGAAAGTTTAAGGAAGTGGAAATTCAATTCAATTTCAAACAAATTTGTCACTTTCACCTCTGAAACAGACCACAAATCACTTTGAAATTCAACTTCTATGAGTTCAAAGCCCTGGCATGTCAGTTCATATGATGTTTGAAGCTGTTTTATGATGCAGAGCACGGCACGTCTCTGCACGGCGATGCCAGTCTGAACTACAACTGAAAAATTGTTTTTGTCTTGGAGTAAATCTGCATGCATCTCACTGAGTCAACTTGATGAAATCCAGGGTTCATTCATCCATCTACAGCCCTACAGTATAGTCTTTCCTCTTCATGTCCCCTGCTTGTGTTATGTCAACATGTTAGCAGCAGCGTGGTCGGCCTGTTAACCCTCAGATCTCCCATCTCATACATTACAAAGGCCTCTATCTCTGTTTTACAATGCACTGGCTGGCTGGATCAAAGAGCCACTGGACCCAGTCACATTACAGGGGGTTTACAACTTACTTGCAATTGCAGTAGGAGATGAAGGAAACATTTAGGATGCCACCTCCCTTACATAGGAACTCTTAACACAGGATAATACTTTGCATGAGGCTGGATAATGTGACTTTGAGCTCTGATCCTAAATGATCAGCACAGGTCTGGCGTGAAATACTGAGTAGCAGACAAGCTTTCCTTCATGTGACCCTTCACCACCTGATAAATCACATTAACACTCGATCTCAGTGAACCATCTGGTAGCCTGTTTTTTTTATCCCATTGTGTCATCAGGAGTTGCACAAAATAACATATTATAAAGGCTCATGATTGTTCACTGTCTGAATGGTTTAGACCCCAGAATGAAGCGTGCCGTAGTGTATGTCTCTTCAGGTTTCTAACAGCTGCAAAAGTCATGTTCAAATCATCTTTTTGTTTATTTATCATTAAGTTCAGACTCAATTAACAACTTTAGGCCTGTTTAATCTCTCACGTTGTCTTGTAAGAAATTTTGCTTATTCTTCCAGTGACAGTCACCAAGTATCCCACAACACGCCTTGGCTCACCTGTTGCATGTTTCTGGAGATCCAGGTGTCCAGCAGCAGCTCCAGTCTCTGCCGGTGATACCTCCCCGTTGTCTTCACCGCTATGAACACGTCAGAGGGGGTGAGATGCTCCACAGGTCCCGGGGGAGCGCTGCTCCGCAGGGGGCCGCTTATCGCTCTCCTCTCCCGGGTCAGTCTCCTGAAGTACGCCGAGAAAACTTTTCCGCTCGCCGCTGCGGCTGGAAGCTCCTCCGGGTCTCCGCTGCCCGGGTGTCCGACAGTGACGACGAGCATCCCGGTCACGAGCAGACAGGTGACCGCGGCGGCAGCGGCGCGGGGTCCCGCCGCTGAGGTGAAGGTGCTTTTTGATTCCCCGGTGGGTTTCCACATTGTGACTGTGAGGACGGTTTTACAGCTTCGTTCATTGACAAGAAAACTGTTCCCTCCAGTTCACAACATTTCCCCTCTGCAGACACAAGTCATAACTGTGTTACAGCCACTTCTCGTGGGTGACCTCCCACTCTTTGACTCGCTGCCTTATTTTACACTGAAGTTATAAACTCCACCGGTGGGCGGGACGGGCCGGCGTTGATCCAATAGCCGGTTTTAGCGCTTAGTGTGGGCGGGGTTAATCAGCAAAGAGGCGGCCATGTGGATCTCCACATGGCAGTTTGAGACACTGACTTTTTTTTTTTGGGGGGGGGCTTCACTTTCTCTTTCAACTTAAAGAAACTAGTTGCGGTGGTGGATCATCCTGCTACTTTAGGTGCTGTGGTCCTGTATTAACATGCAGTGCATCAGGTGATCTCTCTAAAGTGATCTCTAAATGATGCACCTGCAATTTTGTTGCCATAGACGATGACAATAAAGCTCTGTTGAATATCATGGACGGATGACGCATGACCTGCATTCTTCCAAAAGATATTCCCTCATAAATCATCCAGTGGTCCCTTGAGCCCTGTATGGAAACATCTATATTAGTAATGTTTGTGACTAATTTATTCAGTCTTTTCCTTTAATTCATCATCTGTGTGTGTGTGTGTGTGTGCGTGTGTGTGTTTAGAAATATTTTAAAAGCTACACTGAATTGGACAAAATCTAACAGCAAATCTCGGGTTCTTAACGGGGGTATGTGCATAATATTAGCCTTTACCTCACAGCAACCTTCCTAACGCTACTAGAATTAAAATATAGGTATTGTAATGTGTAATTTAAATCAGACCATTACAGACATTTTGAGTTACTGAGGATGAAAGCAGCAGTTCTCTTTGCTGGAAAGCAACATGCCTCGAGTTCCTCTGTGCGAACGCCTGGTGGGTCATTCTCCAAGTAGACAGATGTTGAAAAAGACCGTGACATCGGAGTGTGTGTAGAGCTGCCAACTGCACACACACGCGCGCACACACACATACACAAACAGGAGACTGATGTGCCAAACGGCCAGGTTGCCAGATCCACCAACCATCTGAGGAATGTCTCCTCTAATAATGTGTGGTGTGTCTGTGCTGCATATCTGTGCTGATCCCTCAAGCAAAGTCAGTATAATATTACATTTTAGAAAATATACAAATGCCTCAACAAGACTATGAGTCTATTTAGGACATTTAGAGAGAAAAAGTGCCATCAAGCATGATAATGAGGTTATAGAACAGCACAGCATTGAGTTGAGACTGTGACATCTTGAAAAACGACTGAAAAATGTTTAATTTCACAAAGAAAATCCAACTCAAGTTTCCCTTACTGGCTTTTTCCATGGCTTTCAAAGCTATCTCACAATTTTCATCTGTGGATTTTGTTTGCTCAGTTGTCATGGTGAGGGAATTGTCCACATGCAAGCTCTGAAAAAGCTAGTAAGTGGTCCTTGAGTTGGACTTTACGTGCTCCGGATGAAATCATAACAGCAACTGAGCTGGGATGTCAACAGCTATACTGTGCATGAACACTTAGTTTCACTGTTATATTAACTCACTGAGCACTTTATTAGGAACACCTGTTCACCTTCTTATTCATACAATGATCACTTAGCAGCAATGCATTGTATAAAAATCCTGCAGATAAAGGTCAAGAGCTTCATTTAATGTTCACATCAAACATCAGAATGGGGGGGAAAAAATGTGATCTCATTGACTTTACATGATTGTAGCCCATCCACCAGGTGGATCAGAAGACCTCGTCAGGTCCCACTCCTGTCAGGAATGTGAGGCTGCAGTGGACACAGGCTCAACAAAACTGGATGTTGAAGACCGGAAAAATGCAGCCTGGTCCGATAAATCTCGCAGATGGTAAGCTCAGAATTTGGCGTCAACAGCATGAATCCATGAGGTCAACAGTCCAGGCTGGTGGTGGTGTCGGTGTAATGGTGTGGGGAATGCTATCTTGGCACACTTTGGGCCCCTTAATACCAATCAGTCACGGTTTGAGTGCCACAGTCTATCGGAATATTGTTGCTGACCATGTGGCCACAATTCATCCTATCCATCCTCTGATGACTTTGTCCAAATTGATAATGCTCCATGTCACAAAGCAAAAGTCATCTCAAACCAGGCCTCCCCAGTCACCAGATCTCAATCCAATAGAACAGCTCTGGGATGTGGTAGAACAGGATATTGGCAGCTTGAATGCGCAGCTGACAAATCAGCAGAAATGATGCAATCATGTCAACATGGACCAGAATCTCAAAGGGAAGTTTACAACATCTTGTGGAATCCATGCCGCGAACAATGGAGGCTGTTTCGGGAGCAAAGAGAGGAGCTACCCGGTATTAGTATGATGTTGCTAATGAAGTGCTCAGTGAGTGTAGTTGAAAGCTCTGGAAAAATCAGTTTTGCCCATGTAGGCTATGTATTGCTAATACACTGCAACATACCTTTACAAGCATCATAACATACAATTACTAAATCACATCCTGTGTTTTAATGCCACCATGAAAAACTTTCCAATGTGTACTTTCCATTTTATGTCACAAGACACTAAATCTTCTCTAAAGCTTCTCAATACTGAAACTTAACACCTGCCAATGTGACTAAACATTTGATGAACTTTGACCCTTTTTTTGCTGCAAGGAAACCGTTTTACAATGTTTAATGATGATGTTTAAGTGACCTTATATTTTGCAAGATGTAGGGGAAAATATGTGTTTGTTTTCTTAAACCCTGAATGTCACACCACCCATTTTATCTCACAACTGAATCATCAGTTGATGGTTTCAGATACGATTCTCGGAAACATTTGGCTATAATACAGTTGAATGTATGGATTTCGGTTAGAAGTGTTTTTCCTTCTGACCTTTTCAAAAACTTGGGTGGGCAGATGTGTTGCTTTCAGTTTGTCTGTTTTATATTTTTGAGTGCAGCGCAACTTCTTTCGTTTTCCAAATGCAATTATCAGAGTTCAAGTCTGTGAAAAGCAATGAGTCCGACGCCAAGTAAATGCTCAGAAACATGAATGTCTGTATGAATTGTGTCAACCTCAGCGTCAACCTCATGGTGGCGCTAAGAGTGGTAGTCAAAGGATCGCCAAAGTCACTGGGATACATCATCTGGGAACCATCAATATCCGTACAAAATTTTGTGCCAATCCGTCCATTAGGGATGTGCTAGCTGGTTAGCTTGGGGCTTGCCCCGGCCCGTCTCGTCACTTTCCGATAGCGACTCACTGTAGCTTCCAATCTGCCCTGAAGCCTTAGCGCAGGTCAGAGGGGGTATTATAACTTCTCGTCCTGTAAAAGCAATGATGGCTGAAGCTCTTGTCCAGCGACAGTCACCACCACCTGTGTGAAAGAAACCAAACTGACATATAGCCCCTTCAATGCTATTTCACTTAATAAATGTGTATCTTGCTCTTGATGCCACGCCTCTTACTCTTCTCCTATTTGAACAAGTACAAACAGTGGTAAGAATAGGATGTGATTTTTGGCTGAAAAGGGGTTTTGTTTCAGCATTTCTTATCACAGGGGAGGCAGATTTCCTGCGCCGCATGACATAAAGAGGAAACACTGCTGATAACTTAAACAAACAGACACATATTGAGAGAATCAAAGGCAAACAGCAAAGCCATACCTCTCATTATTTCTTCTTCTGCCTGTCTTTGTCATAAAAACCTCCTCATCCCCTGCCTTCAAGAGTAAGAGCGGCTCACTGCCTTCACTTTCATCCTGGTGGAGATCATGTAGAGCCACAAACGCTGAACCTGCAAATGCACCCACAAAGTTACACCCCATTTATGATGGCTTTCATTTCCTCTCAAACCATATCAGTGCAGCCACAGCGTGAGCATGAAGCTGTGTTTGTATGCGCCAGTGTGTATCTGGATAACGTTGCGGTTGTGTGAATGGATGTGGACTAAAGAATCTCTATTTATATTCTTCTCAGGAGCTGCGTATATTTGTGTGCACTGCTCTCTTTTCCCTTTTGTCTGTGTGTTTACAGCAAAGTGGTGGTTCTCTGTGGCTCAGTGTGGGTTTGATATGTACAATTGAAACTTAGAAGGACAGTCTAGCCTCATACAGTTCCTCCCTCTCTTTCTCTTTCATCTGTAGAAACCCCCTCTGCCCACCCCCCCCACCCCTTAGCATAATCCCCTTGTCTTTGATTTCTGCCCCTAAAATCTCCCTCCTCTCTGCCCTCCTCTCCTTGTTTTCCCTCTCTCCTTGCTTTCTCCTCCCTTGTTTCATCTTGTCAATATGTTGCAGGATTCAGAGTGCAAGGTCACAGTTTTCCAAGCCTCAAGTTGGGACTTTTCCCCCGTTTCCTCTCACTCCTCTAACTCCCGCACTCACATTAAAAAAAGAAAACATTCATGAGCTTTTAAATTCACTTTCATCTCCACGTTTAGATTAATAGAAGATCAACTCCTGCTTAAATGTGGTTACTCCAGTGAAAAAAAAGAGAAAGTGTAGAGCTTTGTGACTGTGAGTGGGAAGGAGAACAAACAACAAGGATGTTTTCCTCCTTTTTTCTTGCTGGAGCGAGGGATCGCTCTCAGACCACATCTAGAGGAGGAGAGGAGGGAAGGAGCGAGGGAAGGAGGGAGGGAGGGGGCGAATGATCAGGGCTAGGGGGGAGAGAGAGGAGAGAAGCTTTGTGGCTATCGTGGCGTCAGTCACGGTTTCAGGGGATTCTGATTCACAATGTGATATTGATTAAAGCTTTTCTCTTCTCAGAAAAAAAGACACGAGGATCAGGAAACAATTAATCTGCTTGTGCATTTGTCCCTGTGTGTGTGTTTAAAGAAATGATTCAATGATAATCTGTCTTTTGAGTATTTGAAAGGTGGCTTTGTAGCCTCTTTGCTAGTGCACAGCAGCTGTAGTCACCTTGGATTCACAGCAGCTAATATAGAGTCTAATCAAGAGCCAGAATAACATCAGGGGGAAAAAAAAACTTGCCAAAGAACCCATTTCAACTTCTCAAACTACTCCTGCAGCATAATCCTACTCTCTGCTCTCAGTCCATCAGTATGCACCAATGAGGTAAAGTGGAAAACTGCCAGAGGCTTCAGACCTCTAGAGA